ATCACTTGTGACGGCGCGACAGGCCTGGCTGCAGGCTTGTTGACGCTGCTGATTGCGGCAGGGCGGCGAGGAAGAAGATTGCAGGCAGTGAGCAGAAGCGCCTCTCGAGACAAACGAGACGGCACAGCCAGACCCAGACGGCAGCCCAACAGCGGTAGTACCAAATGACTGTAGGCCGGTGGGAAACGAGATGAATCACGGAGGAGTGAGTGGCCCCAAGAGACGAGGAGCAGCGCGGCGGCGTGTCGGCGTCAGGTCAAGAACGGGCGGTCGCGACGCGGGCCCGGTTGCTTCCAGCGGTCGGCGACTACGCGGCGTGGTGCTAGATGTGGGTTAACATTTGTTATTTTGTGCGTCCATGGCCCCGTCCTGATACGGTATGGCGAGGCAAGGCAAGTCGATACGCTGTTTCAGTGCAGGGGACCGAAAAGAAGAATAGCAGAGATTAAACGCTCATTGGAGCAGACGCCATGCGAGAAGAGGTGGAAGGGGGTCCATCGTCAACGCGGATCCGAGTTGGAGTTCGCGGAGGGCCCTTGTTCTTCTTGGCCGTGGATCGATTGGTGTAGAGGTCGAGAGAAGGGTGCTCATCGCTTGTTTCATCTGCACGCTCAACGGAAGGCGCGACCACCAATGAGCCGCGCGCATCTGTCGTGCCAGGCAAAGCCTTTTGGGTCGACGTCCCTGACAGGCTGGGGTGAGGAGGAGAGGAAAGCTGACGTGCGCTGCTCTGCTTTGCTTGATTCTTTTTTGGTGCTGAGCTGGCGGTTCATGGGTGCTTTCTTCTCTCTATCGATTGGATGCAGGCACGGCACCGGAGACGCACAAGGCAAGGGAGGGCAGCGCGCAACTGCCCCCGCAAGAGAGCGAGCGAGCAAGGTACGTACCTGCTTATGAGCACCGTCGTTGGCCAGTCAGATGGCAGGAAGGCAACTGCCCAAGACGAGCATCAACCAACCACAAGGACGCATCTCGGCCAACGCAGACTGACAGCATGCAAAGAGGAGCGAGATGCTGTGAATGGGGAGAATGGACGGACGGCTGGAGGCGGGTCATCCTGGTCTCTCCTCCCTTTCTTTTTTTACCCTCTGTCGCCCCGCTGTGTCTCTCTCGCGCGCGCAGAGTCCGTCCTGTGCGGATATTTGCTGCAGTCTCTCGCTTGAGTGGATGCAATGCTCCCGCAGCTTGTTTGAGAGACATGGGCCCTTGCTTGTGGGATCGTGTCTTGGTATTTCTGCAACCACTGGCTGAAATAGCATCAGCTCTGGTGTGCAGCGGAACGAGGCGGACGGGGTAGCACTCTCAACCGAGCTGTGATGGCCAGTCAACGGCCTTCGTAAGACACTCGGTGAAGTTGGCAATGGCCGTCGTCGTCGACAACCGGCGGGTCTCGGCCTGCAGCCGCTTCTGCCCATGGCAATGCCGATTCCTTGGTACGGGATGCAATCTTGCTTGATTCTGGGCTGGTAGTCTTGGTGTTGGGCTTGCAAAAGTAAATATATCAAAGTCATCCCTCACCTCGGCGCCTCTTGCACTATATCTCATCCCTGTGTCCTCCTCCCTCTTGAGTCTCGAGTCTTGTCTGGTTGGGCTTGACTTTGATTTCCAAATCAGTTACATCATCATCGGCATTCGAGGGCTGTTGTATTGAATACGACAACTGACCCGGTTCTTTCCCGCGTTCAACGGCACCATCACCGACCGAGCTTTACCGCCGTCCATCACCAGCAGAAGCAGGGAGACATACAGACCGACCGGAAGCCACCGATCTGTCACCACACCGAAGACCCCACCCGATTCATCTGCATCAACAGCCGGCCTGGTCGATACGAATCGTATTTGTTCATTCATTGTTTTTTTCTCCTCCTAGTTCTGGCTCTACTGTCTACTACTCTATTTTTTTCCCCTGGATTCCTGTTTTCTCGTCCGATCTCTGTACTATCGACCCCCTCCGTTGCTGGTCATCGCGTCTCTGCACCCAAGCTCCTCCCCCTCCATCGACTGTGCATTCCAGTCACTCGTCTGCGCCCCACAACAGCTTCTTCCCCCCTCCCCAGTAGCGCCTTCCACCCGCTGCACTCGCACAGTCGGTCGCTGCTGCTCTCGACGCCCTCGTTTCCAAACATCCATCCCATTTTGGCCCTGCACCCCTTTGGACCAACAGCACCAGGAAACTGGAACGGGATTTTCCATTGTTGGATCGATTGGATTTCTTGCATTGCCACTGCCCTGTCGTCGACTCCAGTCCTTTACCTCTCCCTCGTCCGCCCACGCGAGTCTGGATTCAAAAGGCAGAGCCCAGCCTGCGCCATCTGATCAGTTATCCTCACCACATCAAACATCACCAGCCTTCTCTCGCTCAGGCGTTTTCCCGTGCGCTTATCTTGCGTACACTTTCTGCCCGAGGCGCAAGTCGACACCTTAAGCCGAGACACATCGTACCACCAAAACAGCACAGCTGTCGACTCTATCCCACCCGTGCCCGTTCACATCTCGATTGACACCTTACCCTCGTGTTCAATTCCGCCTTCGATTCTGCCCGAAGGCCTCGACCCTTCGGCAAGCACATCCTGCATCGTAGCGTGTGTGGTCCCGAATCAATCTCATCCATCCAATCCAGCCGACGCCATCTGCCCACCTTGGACGACCCCTGCTTGCGGCCTTCCATTCGCAGAAAGCAACCAGCACCGCCTCGCGCCCAACAGTCCAGAACCTGCACTTTGCGAGCCCGCAAGTACCAACTACCTCGTCTGCCGCGTAACTTTGCTCAAACATCCCACGTACCCCATACTCCCTCCCCACCGCATCATCTATCCGAGTGGGAAGCGGGTTCAACTTGGGAAAGCGCATTACCAAAGCCTCACTCTGACGGTTCATATTGTGGCCATCCCAGGGCGTTGCTAAACCTTACTCTGGATGCTGGTCGCCTGTCGTCATTTTCCCGCCTCTCTTGTTGACTGCATCTTGGGCTGCTCGTCGCATCGAGAGACTGCAGACTAGGTCCATCCCGAGCCTACACGCTCGATACTTCTTGCCCTGTAACGGCTACATTGCCTTGATTCATCTGTTGGCTACACGCTGCCGGACAAACTCAAGTCTGCCCCTTAGCCCCGATTGTGCGCGCAAAGGACTGTCAATAATTTCCCCCCGTCTTCGACCGGTGCCTAACGTTTTCGGTCTTCGGATCCCGGCCGAACAAAGCCCAAGTCAGCAAGCACTCTTTGTGATCTCGCTGCTGACCTGCACACACCCCCGCTGCCCGCATCAGCATCGCATCCGCCGCGGCCCCGAGAACAATTTCATCAACAATCGACATTCATCCAACGCCGTCCGCTGGTTCGGAAGCCTGGAATCAACAGTCGTCAATCGCGCTGCTAATAATTCCGATCCTCCACGGATTCCGCTCTGCCGCTTTTGCCGCCTCGAGCAAGTAATTTATCCTTCTCATCCCGCTCGCTCCACCAAGTGAGCACGACCCAACCGTCAATCAGTCACTCAATCAACCTGGTTCAATTCGGATCGCAGCCCGTTGGCCCAATCTGTCCTAGACGGCTTGACGCATCGTCTCATTTCGTCGAGCACCAAGAAGCCGCATCGCCGTCTCGACCCTTTCACCTAAACCCAAACCCAAACCCAAACCCGCACTCCCTGACTCGCCCTGGTCGTTTTACTTGACGCCGTCACACTCCTCACCCGCAACTTTCTCCAAGCGCTTGGCAACTTTGACCCGGCCATCTCATCCGCTTGCAGACATTCAAAACTCGGCCTATTCCTCGATTCGTCATAGGCCGCCGGGCAATTTTTTCCAGAAGTTTAGGTTTTCGTCTCTCCTTGACTGCCATTGTCGTCAGTTTCAACAATCGCACAATCGTCTAGACGCCGTCGTGGACTCCTCTGCTTCCAGCTCAAGCAACTCCCCCCAACCAGCACCCTCTCGTTGCAACTCTGCACCACCTCCACCATCTGCCGTCGTCGTTGGCGCCTTCTTTCACAATTTTCCCCATCGCCACCTACTCGTCGAGGGTGACCCGCCCCATCCGCATTCACCGTCGTCAAAATACAGCAACACAGCAGCTAGGCTGCCGTGTGTTCCGCAACGCACCATTCTGCAGTGCCAAGGCCATTTGGTCAGAGTCACTATCGCGAGATCTTCGCAACGGACAAATTCAAGTTGTCTGGGCAGAACTGCAAAATTGAGAGAATCTCGCGCCACAGTCCAGTCCCGATATCGAGGTCGAATCCAGCAGCAGCAAGAAGAAGAAACTGTAATCCGCAAGCACCGACTCTGCAACCCGCCAAATCCAGACCCCCCCTGCCGGCTAGTCCGCCCCCTTGCGACCTCGCTTCTTCTCTGAGCCTTCATATCGCCACCCCCTTCGGGACCTTCCTTGCACCCCTAGCCCCGCACCCCCTGCCACCCGCAACCAAAGCACGCCCCTCCCCTTGCCCGCTTGCACACCCCTGCACCCCTGGGATCTACAGCATTCCAGCCCACCCCAAGCATCCAAGCCCCCCCCAGCAGGCACTTCCGTCGGCGTCCTGCTGAGACTCCCTAAAAAACTAACCCCCTACTACGCTAGCACTTGACTAGCGACCCCCTGACAACCTGCCCACTCAGCCTCGTGGACCGCACGTCACCCACTGACGAGTAGCTATTCCGCATCCCTCACTGCCGCTGCTACCAGGGCCATCCCCAGAGCCTGGCCCCAGCACTTGCGACGAGGCACATGAACTTCGCCGCACACCACACCCGCACCCTCCTTTTCGTCTAATATATCAGTCCAGGCTGCCCGTCTGCGGTTTTTCTCGTTCTCCTCTCATTTCGTCACTCTTCAACGACTTCAAACAACAATACCCCAAAGGAAGCCTCCTTAAACCCCAAGGAGCCCTTTACTCGTAGGACTCTCACCGTCAACCAACCTCCCATCACCAACCGCAGGATAACCCCAACCACCACCACCCTCACACACACACACATACACACACACATACACGACACAATGGAGTCACGGTCACATCTCAGCCTGGCCGAGCTCAACGCCGCCGCCCTTGACCACTTCGTCTACCAGCCCGTCAGCAAGTCGATGATCTCCTACCTGGCCGGTGCCGCCTACAATGTCATCGCATGCGACAGCGCCCTGATGCCTCCCGCATCCGCAGAGGCGTACCGCCAGCAGCAGCTTCCTCCGACGCCGCCCAGGACACCCGAACCCCGCGCTGTCCGCTCCGAAGACGCCGACCTGCCTACGCTCGAGGCCTTCATCACGCAGCTCGTTGTCTCCTCCAACGTCCAGGTCCCGACGCTCATGTCCACCCTGGTTTATCTCACGAGACTCAAGTCTCGTCTTCAGCCCATGGCTCGCGGTCTCCGATGCACAACCCACCGCATCTTCCTTGCCGCCCTCATCCTGACGGCCAAGTACCTGAATGACAGCTCGCCCAAGAACAAGCACTGGGCTACTTACAGCCATGCCAACAACGATTTCTCCAACTTTGGCTTCAGCAGAACGGAGGTCAACCTGATGGAGAAGCAACTTCTCTTCCTCTTGGACTGGGACCTGAAGATTACCGAGGAGGATCTCTACCGCGAGCTTGACCCCTTCCTGGCACCCATTCGCGCCGAGATCGAGGCCAAGCACGCTCGCCGTATCGCTCGCCGTCGCAAGCAGGAGGAGGAGATGCGCCGGAAGCAGGAGGAGATGTACACCATGGCCGTCTACCCCAGCCCCCCTCCTCGCGCGCCAGCTCTCGCTCACGACAGGAGACGCCGGATCACGCCCGCACTTGCAGCGGCTCCTCCATCACTCCTCCTGGCCTGTGCTACAGCAGCAGCTACGGCAGCTCCATCAGCTCCTACGCTCCTTCAGTAGCATCAAGCCGCTCCCAGTCCCGGGCTACCACGCCGCTGGACAACCCCGCCGACGAGCCGTACATGTACGTGCCCAACGGCAGCCTGTACGAGTCGCCGGTCGAGGTCCATATCGAGCAGCCGGCGTCGACTCTGCCCAAGCGGAAACCACTTCTTCCCTACGAGATCAGCACCGAGGAGCTTCGCGACATGCAAGATGGCACCAAGGCCAAGAGGGCACGCATGGGCCGTGGCATGTGGGGCCGCGTTTTCGGCGGTGCCGTGACAGTGCGGTAGACTTGCCACATTGCACAGATTTTTCTCTTTGTTACAGCCTCGTCTTTTTACGTTTTCTTGCGTTTTGAGCCACCCCACAAAAGCATGGTGTTGGATTGTGCTATAGAGACAGCAACGGGGGGACAGACTTGACTTGTTTTTCTTTTTCTTCTACTATTCCCGAGGGCGTTGGGTAATGGAGACCGGTACATGGAACACGAATTGAGGATAGAGCATCCTCGGGCATTGCATATATGGATCGGTGTTGGGCGGACATTCATGGACATGAATTTTTCTTCTTTTTCTTTGGGTTGTTTGGCATCCTCGCTTGGTAGAGGATGTGGGATTCGGGCTGGACTTGGGCACGCTGCCACATAGAACGGTCAGCACATCGTATAGCGTAGCAGAAATACGCCTGGGCAGACAACACGTCACCCATCAAATGAGAAACACAGCGCGGCATCGCCGCTCCCAAACATTACCACCTGTCCCGAGTCTTTGGTTTCGTGAACGGCAGTTTACACGATGATTCTTCCCGCTTGCAGCCTCGGCCTGTCTGGGGTTCCGGGGTGGTGGTCTGGAACGGTTGGCGCTAGCGGCGGGCAATACTCCCGCAATCGATGCCCCTCGTGATCTCGAATGCAGCCAGCGGGTGCGGGCGGGGGGGGCTCAGAATTCATCGCATTCAGCTTCACATGCGAGACATTGGGCATGCTTACGCCGCGGTCATCTAGACGGCCCTCATGTTCTGTCTGCCTGCGTCTATGGTAGCGTGGCCAGGCTATTTTACTTTTTTACTTTTTAATTTTTATTTTCGGTTCTTCAATTTTTTTCCCTCACGAGACCGACCACGTAGGGACGCTTTCAACTCCATCCCGCCGCCCATCGGCACCCGAGTCTGTGGGTTTTAACATGTCGCAGTGGCCGCAGGGCACATATGATGCATGACTTGGTCCTAGAGCTTATCGACCCGGCCGACGTCGCGAGTGGTTCCCCCACCCTTAACCCTCGACATCGACGTCAGTGCTGCTGCTGGGGGGATCGGGACATGAGTCGGATTCCGCAGTCTTGCTACAACCTTATATCAGGGTGGGTGTATGGGTTGTGCGGCGAACATGCCTTGGAAGCCCTGGAAAATGCTCCCTAACCCGGGTTCGGAACAGGAAAAGAAAACAAGCAGAAAAAAAAAACTTGGTTGCGGATCGCTGACGACAACGGTCTCGTCGCGGGCTTGCGATGTGCCGACGACGGCTGCTGCGGTAGCGGGAGAGAAAAAAGAGATGGATTTGGATTAACGAGGGGAGGGGCGGCGGGTGACGCGGAAAACGCCGTTAATGGCGGCCGTGGGCTTTCGGAAGGGGATGCATTCCGCAAGCCGGGGACGGTTTTTTCCCCTTCTTCTTCTTGGGAAAGGGTGGGAAAGGGCGGTGGCAGAGAGAGAGAGCGAGAGAGATCTAGATGCACGGGGTGGACGGAAGGTCGGACGGAACGGGGTCGCACGGATACGGGTGCGACCACAGGCAGTTAGCAGACGAGAGACTAGCGGTCGACGACGCCGGTGCCGGTGAGTGGGTTCGGAGAAGGTCGGTCTGGGCCTTTTTTTTGGGGGGGGGTGTCTGTCCATGGCGGTGGACGAGAGATGTCAAATCATCTTTCGCGGTGACTAGCAGGTCTAGCGCACTGGTAGGCTAAGGGTTCGCCGTCGGGCATCGACTTCCCCCATCCCTCCCGAGACTTTCGGTCAGTTGAAGAAAAAGGACTGACGGCGGATCCCGGACGTCTGGTCCTCTCTCCTCCCGCAGGGTTTTCGTTTCTGCATCCAGAGACGGAGGATTCGACTCTGAGGTCCCTGCGATTGGCCGGCGAACTGGAATGCGTGTCCAGGACGTCGCGAGGGGGGGGGGGGTTAAATCAAATGCTCACTAGGACAATTCTCGGGATATTTGGTTAGCCCTTTTCGTCTTCGCCATTCGTCACCAACGAAATAACGGTCTGGAGAGGCGCGCAGAGTTTAAAGGTATTACACCTCGCAACTGCCCTGCATGGCGTCTTGGGCGATGCAGAGCAAGGTTCGGGAATGCAGCATGCAGCCCCGACACTGACAAGTGTCATTAAGGGTCCGATATGGTGACGTTCTCGACGAGGGTTGGATGGGGAGGTTTGACATGCATAACGGCAGGGAGGGGTTGCACGTCAAGGGCAGCCGGCTTGCTTGGCGACTTGGCTTCACGGGCGGCGGGGATCTTGCCTGTCGGGGAGGGTACACGTGTGTGCTCCGTACAGGAGTGATCCTCGATCAGGCAGCGGGGAAACCATCATCATCATCATCATCATCATCATCATCCTCATGGGAAGAAACAAGATCGTTGCAGAAACACTCTGCATCCTTGGTCGTCTTCGGCTTGGATGTGGATGTATGTCCGTTGTCCCTTTGCGAGGAAATGTCGGTCAATAATCCGCCGGAGAGGGGGGGTGTGCGCGGTGATGGGCATGTGGGCGTCGTCGGGCGTGTAAGATTCGTTGGAGGATGTGGCTGGGGGAGGGACCAATGTCAGGAATCAGGAATTAGGCTCCGTCCCCACACGCGCGGATCGTGAGGTGCAGCATGCTAAAACGGGTGCTGGGGAACCATTCGTGAAAGTGGATGGAAATTTCCGTGTACCTATGCCCCATGTCCGTGTCGATGGACGTGTTTCCAAGAGGCGGCGATCCCAGAGACGTGCCGCGTCGTGCTTGCACACTTCGTATTGCCCTGTGGGCAAGGGCGGAGTCCCTTCTGGCTGGCCGGCGGTCCGGGTCGGGGTGGGTCTGTAGCCCGGGTCGGGGGCTGGGGATGAGTCACGAGGTCGGGGCCCGTTATGTTGGCGGTCGGATGTCTGTCTATCCAGATAATGTTGATCGGTTTGCGTGATGTGCCATCTGTGCCACTCGAAATGCCTAATGAACTACACAATTTTCCCTTGCGGTTGGTTGGCAGTAAGCCTGTGTGCGCCTCTCAGCCCGCCCAACGCCCGCGGTGCCGCGGTTTGGCATAAGCCCGCCCCGGATTCGTGAACGCGGGCGCCAAGGTCCAGCGACTTGAATCCCTGTCTGCCAGCCCTCGGTCCCGCCACACACGGCCGCGTCGCGCGCCCGAGTGCTCCGGCTGGGCAGACCGCGAACTGGGCCTGCTGCGGCCATCGTCGTTTAGATTCATACCCAATGTGGCTTTGGCCACTCGTACGTTTCCTTGCTTGTCGATAAAACCTTGTTGGCAGAACTGCACATGTGACCTAGAGTAGGCGTGTAAAATCATGTCAGTCCGTGATACTTCATTGCGAGGCTTTGTTAACCTGGCGGCCATTGAGCAGTGCTGCGCCGTCTCAGCCCCAGGCATGCAACAAGGTCTTGGAAAGCGTAGTCACCAATACGTGGGGCATGGTTGGCGACACCAAGTATGGGCAGTCTCGTTTCCCCACCGCTCTAAGACCTTGGAGCGTCCGATGAGGATTCATCTGACGCAGTCCGCATGTGGTGGCCGGAAAACCGGACTGCAGGTAACGGACGCAGATTATGTGTCGATCAGCGCATCAATAGCCATGCTAAAGGCATGACACCATGACCAGGACCACGTTTGCTGATCCTTGATTGTCAAGTGTTGAGGGCATGCACAGCCACGCGTCCGGATGAGTGGGCTGATAGGGAAGTCAGCTGGGCCAGCTACGACTGCGTCTCGTCGACCTGATGATGCTACCAATATCTCTTATGCTCACAAGAGGAAGAAAGAAGCGAAACGACCCAAAAGGAGTTTGTTCTCCGTACGGGCGTTGGGATATGTGTGGGTTGATGCCCCCCGGTTTGACACAGCTGACACGGCCTGAGCGGTTTGTCCGATCTCATCACAGCCTCGAGGCTTGAGTTACGTCTGTTCACCATGCTCTCAAAGCGGTGTAGTGCTGTCCCAATGACCATGACCGCGGGCCTTCCAGAGAAGCCCGGTACGGCATTTTGTTTCGGATTTGTTCTTGTGGTTTGCCGGTCAGTTATTCTCTGATCCGAGCAACCGAAAAGTGGCTCGGCGCAGCTGTCCACAATGCCTTGCCCATACCCCTGCAGATACGGTTCGCAGTCGAACACAACGTGGGAAGTCCGGAGGACCATGGCAGGATGCTACGTGATGAGGATGCAGGAGTTCCGGCCCCTGCGTCTGTTATGTCCGCCCATCGTCCGCCATCGCGAAGAACGTTCTTGCTCGGCACTATCGCAAAGAATGGAACTGCGTCCAGGTGCTCGAGATGCAGCGTGGCCGGCATTAACGTTTCTTTCGCACAACCTTGGGAACGGGAGCCGGAGGGCATTTGATAGGTCAGTGTTCAGCGCACCATGAGAGCTCGAAGGGTCCAGAATGGACCCGAATGGCAGGTTCCGAGATCGACAGGAACAGTGACATGGATATCTAATGAAAAGGTATGAAACCGCTGGACTGATGTTCTAGGCGGGCTGGCTGATCAATGGCAGTTGCAGGTGCTTAGAAATCGGGAACCATGTGGACCCAGCTGCGGCTAGCGGCTAGCGCATTGCGGGGGAGACTCAACAGGCGCCGCTGGTCGGGTTTGCCACTGGAGGAGACTCTCAACTCGAACATGGGTCGCGTTAATCAAGGTGACTCCGAATGAGTGGTGCTGGGTGGTGGGCGAAGGCGGAATGCCGGCGGAAGATTCACGTCGTTTCCAAAAGTCCAGTAAGGCAAGCGCGCTCGGTTTGGCGTGTCAACGTGCCTGCCCCCTTGAGGCACCCAAATGAAACTGGAACGGACCCGTTTTGAGCAGGTTACGTCAGAACTTGCGCTTTCTGTGCCGACGGCACAGTGTGGTGACAGTGTCGGGCCTTTTCTGGGTGCAGAACCCGACGTTACAAACACGGTGTTTCTGAGGAAAAAATGGTGAGCCGCTGACTCTTGACACCTAAGAAATTCTGCACCGCACAAAACGCGCACCCAAAAGAGGCAAGACCAATCTGTCAAAACATTTCAAAGCAGCACAATTGCCGCGAAGTGGAAAGCCAAATGCCGAATGATGGCCAGGCACGGGGAATAAAATCGTAGACTGCACTCACTCCCTTGGTAATCTTCACTTGCTCCCTCCACACCGAACCACGGAGGCGCAACAGAAACTGGGCGTACAGGTGGATGGGAAAACTCGGACACGGAGCCTGAAGCACAAACACACCATCTTTTCCCCACCATCACGGCCTTCATCTCTGCTTCATTCACCCACTTGAACGTTTTGTATACTGTGCAGAACACACAAATACTCAAAAAGTAAAGGTATACCTAGCTGGGACTGGCCGGAACAGATACCTTCCTGCCACGTAATCAATTCATCTTTCTTATATCCTTCCGTCACCCTCTTAGTAAGTTTGTCCTCTTATCTCCCCCGCCACATTCCTGGCGGCTGTCCCTCGACGCGCTTCCATCCCTGTGTACCGTCCCTGTCGATCCTCTCGTGTATTAGGCACAGAGACTCTGGCGACAACGACGGCGACGATCACAAGAAACACTGACTGACCAGCCCGTAGGCCTATCACCATGGACGACGGAAGGAGCTCACGCATCACCACCTCCTTTCTGCTGGCAAACCTGCATTGTCCGTCATGTGTCTCGTCGATCCAGCAGGCTCTTCAGGAATCGTCCAGCCACGATGTGATTTGGGTCTCACCAAACGTCGTCACGTCCGTCGTCACCATTGAACACAGACACACGCCAACTCCCGACATCACCATCAGATGCATGGCCAAATCACTTCAAGATGCCGGCTTTGAGATCTGTGGTGTCACTACCACGGCTGCTACCGACACCGACCTGGAGACAATCACCCAGACCCAACCGCAAACTGGGGTGGATGACTCCACTCACAACGGTGCCCTTGATGGGCTGCTTTCCTTCACGCCCAGATGGTCCAGTGAATCACCAGAGGCGCAGCGAGAGGCCCATCTTCTCAACTGCAAACAGTGTCGTGAATCAGACGACTCGTCCCATAGCGAAGATCGAGGAGTGCCATCAAACTCGAACGGGCATCAGAACGGGCTGCGGAAGTCCAGGAGCAAAAGCAATGGCATTGCGAGTGTGAAGGACATGTCATCGGACGGCTCGAAATGGAGAGCAACGCTCTCTGTCGGTGGCATGACGTGCGCGTCTTGCGTGAATGCCATCAGGGAGGAACTGAACAAACGGGATTGGATCGACAATGCCACCGTCAACTTGGTCACCAACAGCGCCACTGTCGACTTTACTGACAAGTCCAACGCGGCGAGGATCGCCGAGGCCATCGAAGACATGGGTTATGATGCCAACCTTGACAACCTTGCAGAACTCAACGACAACGGCGACGATGGCAGTGAGGCAGGCAGCGAGGGCGAAAAATGGAGGGTAACCGTGGCCATTGGCGGCATGACTTGTGCTTCCTGTGCCAACACCATCACAGAACAGTTGAGTAAGAAGGATTGGATTTCCAACGTCTCTGTCAACCTAGTCGCGAACAACGCCACGATCGACTACACCGTGGAGGGTAAACAGGACGAGATCGTTCAGTCTATCGACGATATGGGATACGACGCCACCCTGGATACCGTGACGAGAGTCAGGTCTGAGGACAAGGGCGCAAAGCAGCGGACGGTCCAAATCTTGATCAAGGGCTTGTACTGTCAACACTGCCCCAGCCGAGTGACGCACTCTCTTACATCATTCACCCATCAATTGAAGGTTGTCTCTCAGCCTAGTCACGAGAAGCCTCTGGTAACCGTCAAATACACACCCGACGCACCCTTCTTCACCATTCGACAAATCCTGTCCGCCATCGATGCCGCCGACCCTTCGTTCAAGGCGTCCATCTACCATCCTCCCAGTCTCGAGGAGCGATCCAAGCTCATCACCCAAAAGCACCAACAGCAGCTCCTTCGACGAGTCTACTTGACTTTCCTGGTGACTATCCCCACTTTCGTCATTGGAATCGTTTACATGAGTCTGGTCCCCGACTCGGACCATGGCAAGCATTATCTCATGAAGCCGTGGGTCTCCGGTCTCAACCGAGCGCAGTTTGCTTTGTTCGTTCTCGCCACCCCCGTGTACTTTTTCGGAGCCGACGTGTTCCATATCAGAGCAGTCAAGGAGATCAGGAACTTGTGGCGTCCGGGAAGTAAGACGCCCATTCTTCGACGCTTCTACAAGTTCGGAAGCATGAACATGCTTATGTCTCTTGGCACGACTATCGCCTACGTCTCGTCCATCGGCCAGATGATTTCTGCTGCTATCAGCAAGCCCGTCGAGGTTGACGATACTCACTTTTACTTCGACTCGGTCGTCTTCCTGACGCTGTTCCTCCTATTGGGTCGTCTGATCGAGTCTTACAGTAAGTCCAAGACGGGCGACGCAGTCGAGATGCTGGGCAAGCTGCGACCGACTACAGCCATTCTCGTCACCAAAGACTCCATCGGAAAGACTACCGACTCCGTTGTTGGGGTTGACATGCTCGAGTACGGAGACATCGTTCGCGTGCCACATGGCGCTTCGCCTGCGGCAGACGGAATTGTAGTGCAGGGCGAGAGCAGCTTTGACGAGTCGAGCTTGACGGGCGAGTCTCGGTTGATCAAGAAGATCCCTGGCGATGAGGTTCACGCCGGCACGGTTAACAAGGACTCGGCCATTCAAGTTCGCATTACGGGTGCTGCCGGAGCGTCTATGCTGGATCGGATCGTCTCAATTGTTCGCGAGGGCCAGACCAAGAGGGCGCCTATGGAGCGCGTCGCCGATGTGCTGACGGCTTACTTCGTCCCCATCATCACCTTGATCGCCGTTATCACTTGGCTCACCTGGATAATTCTTGGGTACGCCGGCGTCGTCCCTGGGCGGTACCTTGACTCCGAGAGCGGATGGGCGGCCTTTGCCCTGCAATTCGCTATTGCCGTCTTCGTTGTTGCTTGCCCATGTGGTCTTGCTCTGGCGGCTCCGACGGCCATCTTTGTCGGTGGCGGCCTCGCTGCGAAGCATGGTATTCTCGCCAAAGGAGGAGGAGAGGCATTCGAAAAGGCCAGCAATGTTGACGTTGTCGTCTTCGACAAGACCGGTACGCTGACCGTAGGCGGCGAACCCAAGGTCACCGACTCGAAGTTATACCTTGACAAAGAAGACGGTGCCAGCTTGGAGTCTAGCATGGTTTTGGCTACCCTGCGAGCAATCGAGGAAAACAGCAGTCATCCGGTGGCTAAGGCCATCGTGTCCTTCTGCACCACGCAAACCGACGCCTGGGTCCACGTCGATGACCTTCAGGAGCTCCCGGGCAAGGGCATGAAGGCAACGAATCGCGGGGAGAAGCCCGAGGAGTCTTTCGACATGATTGTCGGCAACGAGTCTCTGATGCGCGATCACGCTGTTGATTTCGCCGACCGGGTATCTTCTCAGCTGCAAAAGTGGAAGAGCGAGGCCAAGTCGGTCGCTTTGGTGGCTGTTAGACCTACCCTGGCCAAGCCCGGTGCCCCCTGGGCACTCGTCGCAGCGCTGTCCATTTCCGATCCCATCCGTCCGGAGGCAGTCCGCATCATCAAGGCGCTCCAGGAGCAAGGCACCCGCGTCTGGATGCTCTCTGGCGATAACGTCGTCACCGCCAAGGCCGTAGCCAACCTCGTGGGCATCGACCCCGAGAACGTCCTGGCCGAGGTCCTTCCTTGGGAGAAGGCGGACAAGATCACGTACCTGCAGACGGTTCTCAAGGCGCGCGTCGGCCGGTCTCGTGAACACACCAAGAACCGTGCCATGGTCGCCATGGTCGGTGACGGCATCAACGACTCCCCTGCGCTGACCAAGGCCGACGTTGGCATTGCCATAGGAAGCGGCAGTGACGTGGCTATCTCGAGTGCGGATTTCGTCCTCGTCACCAGCGACCTCCGCGCGGTCGTGACGCTGCTCGAGCTCAGCCGGACGGTTTTCAGGCGCATCAAAGTCAACTTTGGGTGGGCAGTCATCTACAACATCCTCGCCATTCCGATTGCCGCCGGATGTTTGTATCCGATTACGACGAGTGGGGGACAGCACGTGCGGTTGGACCCTGTCTGGGCTAGTTTGGCCATGGCATTGAGCAGCATCAGTGTAGTCTTGAGCTCGTTGGCCTTGAGGAGCAAGGTCCCATGGTTGGGTTTCCGGGCTAGGAAGATCGAGTAGTTGGGGATACCCTGTACTTTGTACCTTGTATTGATATAGAGCAGTTGTATACTATAGTGTAAGACAAGAAGCGTTAAGAACACACCCTGGTTTGCAATATGTGACAACGACGACGTCTACGAGTACCGAAGCAGGATGTATACCGTGGTGAAAGGACCGCGCTGACGAACCAGTCATGCATGAACGAACATGATTGCTTTCGATTCATTCCTTATTTTTTCCGGCTTCTACCGGCCGTCTATGTGCCTATTCAGACGTTGGGTTCCGGGAATCCAAGGGGAGACAATGGTTCATTCACGCGTCAATGGTTAGCCTGATCCTTCCGAGACTCTTCTTCATTATTGCAAGAGGAATACACCGAGAGAGGAGGGAAGCTGGGGCAAGACGGCGATTATTGTCAGTCGTTCAATTCGAAAAGGGCCAACGCTGGTTAATCACCCAGGGGCAAAGGAGACGTCACTTGACGCAAGCGCTAACGCTAGTGTCGAAGAGGGCTCGATCAAAGTACAAGACGCATTCGAGAACAACAGCGGCTTGAATGGCATGTTGCCTCTGTATCAGGGTTTGGTAACCAGAACTAAACGTTGAAAGTCCTTCATGATTAACGTTGGAGACGTGGGTACATATACTGTTATAAGTTGACGGGGTAAGCGAATGGGCAATGGGATGCCATTCTGAACGCTGACGGTACATCAATTAGACATTGCAACCATTACTCACGATGGGATTAGGACGCTGGTTAATAACTGTAATTTGGGCGAGAGTACGTCGGGTAAAGGAGCAACCTAAGTAAAGTGGCTGCAATGGCATTTTGGCATTCTCATACACAATGACCAACACTAAGAAACATCATCTTGACGCAACCAGCCAATGTGTGAAGACTCAACACGGCATCTGGTCAACGGTGCGTATGGACCCGGCAGGATTGTGCCTTATCCCGCCAATGGCTACTTCCAGCACCCAAAGAGCGACGTTCAGGTTCATGAAATCACATTCTAGGGTTCGTCTCGATAATCGGAACCCAGGTGTTGAGCGTTCATCGCGTCATCAGATGGGCAGAGGGGGAGCAGGCGAGGTTGGGCTCGCCAGGAGCGGAAGCCGGTCCCGTCACCGAGCGGGTACCGCCTAGCCGAGAGCCGGGGCGGCCGACCGACAGCCTGGAGTCAATGACTCCGGCAGTGAGACGCCCGGGCGAGGTTGCCACCGACGAGTGTCGAATCTGGGGCAAAAGGGCCGCAAAGGAGGCTTGCGTTTACCGCATGGTCGAGCACGCAATTGCAAAGCCCAGACCAGATGGGCGGCTTTGGTAATCCAAGTGCACCGGTCGGGGGACTTCGAGTGGATCGGAAATGGTGCAATGTGGGTCCGTTGCATTTGCGACCGGGACGCTCATTGGTGCGCGATGGCGCAATTGTTCCTTAGTCGCAATTCTCGAGCTTCAACAATTCCCAAACGCCGAGTTTCGCACGCGAACATGAAAGTCTCGTCGTTCAGCATGAGAGACGGCAACGGCGCTGCGCTGCGCATGGCTGGGTCTCCGAGGGCGTCCCCCTGTTGCTTTACAAATGGCCATGCTCTTTTTCTTCCCTGCTCGACGCTTCGGGTCCTCGGTGGCTACGAGTGCTAAGGTAAGGTCCGGCTAAAGGGTCCCCATTGTCCCGTCCTCTCTTGTTTTTTTATATCCTCGGATCCTGTTCGGAGTCTGTCGAGGCGATACTTCAACACTCACTCGCACCTATTCTCCTGTTCTCCTACAAACCTCAAGGTCCTCCTAGAACGAAGAAGCTCCTGTTTGCTCTCGTTTAGGTTGACGCAAGTGAACTTCACTTGCTCTTGAGTGTGCCAATCGCTTCCGCAGCTACCCATTCTCTTGCGAGTGGCCAGACTCTCTCTTCTGGTCCTTCGTATATCCAGGGCCATCTTTCGTCGCATCTTTTTTGCTGTGTTTATTCCCGACTTCCTTTCTTGACAGCCTCCCAAGATGCAGTTCAAGCAGCAGGAGAGCAACGGCCCCGCCGCCGTGCTCGACTCCAAGTCGCAGACCTCTTCCGCCCCCCAGAAGAAGGTCTCTTCCACCCTCCCCTTTGGCCAGCCCGTGGCCCTCTCCTCCATCTCCGGACCTACCTACGTGACGGCCCAGCTGCTCGTCCAGCAGGTCGCCTTCCTGCTGTCCGACAAGATCTTCTCTTACTCGGCGCCTACCTTCGACCTCGATGTTGCCGCAAAGGCCTGGGCCGAGGCCAAGGAGCAGAACATCCACGGCGAGACTACCGACATTGTCCAGCTGCAGACGAGGACCGGCGCCGGTGCCCTCGCCCTGGGCTACATCTTCAGCCCGGACTTTGACCTGGCCAAGAGGCATCTGCCCCAGACCCTGCTTGCTCCCACCCTGAGCTTGAAGAACCTGCGCGGCGCGTTGGACCAGCTGAGCCTCCTGTACGGAGTTGCCTCTCCCTTTGTTGCGCACGTCGCGGCCCTCGACTACGATGCCGCCAACGGCCTGGTTTCCGACTACGACACTGCTCTGCGGACCGCCGAGGACCTAGGTCTCGGTCTCGTTGCCAGCTCCAGCGCGTACGAGACGCAGCACATGGCGCTCTTCGCGACCCTCATGGCCGCCCTGATGCCCACCCTGCACATCTACGACGGTGTCAGGCTCGCCCGCGAGACCTCCCGTGTCGTTGATGCCCTCAGCCAGAGCGGCATCGCGGACCTGTACAACAGCATCACCTCCGAGTCCACCGGCGTTAGCGAGAGAGCCGCCATCTCCTCCAAGGTCGCCGACCTTCTGGAGGTCTTCAACAAGCACCTCGACCCCACCGAGGACCACGAGAGCCAGCACACTGCGCTCCTGGCCACCCTCATGACCGCCCTCACCCCCAACCTGGGCGTCGAGGACGGCGTCAAGCTGGCCAAGAAGACCCTCAAGGCCTCCGACGCCCTGAACAAGAAGGGCGTCGCCGAGACTTACAAGAAGATCTCAAGCGAGGTCCAGTCCCTGAACAAGAGACTCGACGACGCCGGCAAGGTCGTCGAGCTCCTCAAGCTCTTCAACAACGAGCTCGGCACCGCCTACAGCTTGTTCGAGTACCACGGACACGAGGATGCCGAGGCCGTCCTCGTTGTCTTTGGCAGCGCCGAGGCCCAGCTCGCCAAGCAGGTCGTCAGCCGTCTGGCCGCCGATGGCGTCAAGGTCGGCGCCATCAACGTCCGCGTCTACCGCCCCTTCGTCGAGGAGGCCTTCCTTGCCAGCATCCCCGAGTCCGCCAGGACCATTGCCGTCCTGGGCCAGGTCAAGGACGAGCTCTCCGTCAACGACGCCTCCCTGCAGTCGGCTCTCTACACCGATGTCCTGACCTCCGTCTCCTTCTCCGGAAAGTGGCGCCAGGACCCCGCGGTCTCGGACGTCAAGTACGCCGCTTCGGAGGCCCTGACGCCCCAGACCGTCGCCGACATCTTTGGCAAGCTCGTCAACGCCGACGCCGAGTCCAAGCCCTTCCCCACGCTCGTTCAGGCCCACCAGTACACCTTCTGGGACGTCGACAGCTCCGTCGCCGTCGACTCCCCAGCCGTCGTTAGCAACCTGCTCTCCCGCGAGTCGACCAGCAACGTCTACGTCCACGAGTCGTTCGACAACCTGCTCCAGGGCGGCATCGTCCGCACGGACATCCGCAGCTCCAAGAAGGCCATCGAGGCCCCCTACGCCGTCGAGGAGGCCGACGTCGTTGCCGTCGGTGACGAGAAGCTTCTCAAGGACCTGGACATCCTCAAGAGCGTCAAGGCCGGCGGCAAGCTGCTCCTCAACCTCCCCAGCTTCAAGGAGGAGGACGTCGAAAAGCGTCTCTCCCCCGTCGTGCGCAAGCAGATCCAGGACAAGTCCGTTGAGCTCTACGTCCTGGACGCCGCTCAGTCCTCCATCTCCGAGAAGGAGGCCAAGGCCGCCAAGGTCCTGTTGGAGTTCGCCTTCCTCCAAATCGCCCGCCCCGACATCACCGCCGAGGAGGTCGCCAAGGTCGCCCTCCCCGAGGGCTTTGCCGTGTCCCTCACCGAGACCCAGGAGGCCCTCGGCCAGTCCCTGCGCAAGGTCGAGCCCCAGGCCGCCTGGGCCGAGCTCCCCGCGGACGTCGTCGTCAGCCCCCTCCCCGCGACCATCAAGCCCAACAGCTTCGTCGGCTTCGACAAGGAGGAGCCCGAGGAGATCTCGCAGCTCGTCGACTGGCAGTCGGCCGCCAAGGGCCTCGTCTTCAAGGAGGCCTACGGCACGCAGACGTCGCTCCGCCCGGAGCTGCCCGTCAAGACGCACACCATCACCGTCAAGGAGAACCGCCGCCTCACCCCCGAGACGTACGACCGCAACATCTTCCACATCGAGTTCGACCTCGGCGACTCGGGCCTCACCTACAACATCGGCGAGGCCCTCGGCATCCACGCCGAGAACGACGAGGAGGAGGTCCGCGCGTTCATCGCCTGGTACGGCCTCGACCCGGAGGCCGTCGTCCAGGTGCCCGCCCGCGAGGACCCGGCCGCCTTCGAGACCCGCACCGTCTACCAGTCCCTCAAGCAGAACATCGACGTCCTTGGCAAGCCGCCCAAGCGCTTCTACGAGGCCCTGTCCGAGTTCGCCTCGGACGAGCGCGAGAAGGCCGTCCTGGCCAGCCTCGGTGGCGCCGAGGGCGCCGCCGACTTCAAGAAGCGCGCCGAGGTCGAGTTCGTCACCTACGTCGACATCCTCCAGGAGTTCCCCTCGGCCCGCCCCTCGTTCCACGACCTCGTCCGCATCATCGCCCCGCTCAAGCGCCGCGAGTACTCCATCGCCTCGGCCCAGGCCGTGACCCCCAACTCCGTCGCCCTCATGATCGTCGTCGTCGACTGGGTCGACCCCCGCGGCCGCAACCGCTTCGGCCACGCCACGCGCTACCTCTCCTCGCTCCGCGTCGGCGCCACCGTCGTCGCCTCCGTCAAGCCCTCCGTCATGAAGCTGCCCACCTCCCCCAAGGCCCCGCTCGTCATGGCCGGCCTCGGCACCGGCTTGGCGCCCTTCCGCGCCTTCGTCCAGTACCGCGCCCTGCAGAAGTCGCGCGGCGAGGACATTGGCGCCATCCTGCTGTACCTCGGCTCCCGCCACCAGCGCGAGGAGTACCTCTACGGCGAGGAGTGGGAGGCCTACGTCGACGCCGGCGTCATCACGCACCTCGGCGCCGCCTTCTCCCGCGACCAGCCCCGCAAGATCTACATCCAGGACCGCATGCGTGAGTCCATGCGCGACGTCGTGCAGTCCTACATCCGCGACGAGGGCAGCTTCTACCTCTGCGGCCCCACCTGGCCCGTGCCCGACGTCACCGACGTGCTGATGGAGGCCATCAACACCGAGGCCAAGATGAGCGGCAAGAAGGTCAACGCCCGCAACGAGATTGAGAAGCTCAAGGAGGACGGCCGCTACGTGCTCGAGGTGTACTAGACTAGTTTATTCGTTCCTTTTTTTCCCTTGCGTCAGCATCAAAAATGACTTTGGGCTGGGTATAATAGCCGAACGTCATGCCTTGTATATATATCATCTACGGCTGTCAGTCGAAAAGTTGTTTCTTGCTCATTAGCCAGTATTTATGAATGGAGCACTTTTACTGCTTCAGATTTGAGACCATCTTTGACAATGCCTGAAGAAATGTGAATCATGGTTGTTGTGTCCTCGATACCGCAGCTTGCCCAATATGATGATGTAAGTCATGAAGGTTCTCATTTTTTTGTTACCCAAGGTCTCATGATTACATCTTGTCCACGTCCCATTCAATCCACATCAATTATCATCAGCATCATGAGTGCACTAAAGCATCCTCGAACAAACCCCTCAACTGCTCCCTCTCCTTCTCCAGCTCCGTCTCCAAGCCCGGCGCCAACATCAGCACCCGGGCCTGCGGGATTGTCCCCTCGACCAGATCATCCAGATGCTGGGTGCCGAAGCCCAGTTCCTTGATGCCCGCCGGCTGGTCGCCAAGGTCCGCGAGGAACTTTGTCAGCGCGTCAGCAAGCACCGCGCCGGCGTCCTCCTTGCGGACACGCGAGACGTCCACGCCAAAGACCTCGGCGGCTTGCAGGTGGCGCTCCGGGTTCGAGGCGCCCGTGAAGCGGAAGACGGCGGGCGCGGTGACGGCGACGGAGACGCCGTGCGGGATGATGGGGTACGAGACCTTGTAGCCTGCGTGCTGGTAGCCCGGGTTCTGGCCCGAGATGGGGTAGGACATGCCTGAGAGTTTCGAGTTAGTTACGTCCACTTTGGGTGTTTTTGGAGGCAAATACCGTGGCAGAGGTGGACGCCGGCGTTACCGAATCCGACACCAGCCAGCGTCGCGGCGAGCAGCATCTCGCTCTGCGCCTCGTAGTCGTCGGGGTTCTTGACGGCGCGAGGGAGGTACTTGACCGTCGCCCTCAGCGCGTGGAAGGAGAAGACGTCGCTGATGGGGTTGGCGCCCTGATACGCCGGCCGCAGGATGGGGTTCTTGGGCCGGGGCACGCGCTCGTGATAGGGGATTGCGGTCCAGGACTCGAGGGAGTGGCAGAGCACGTCGAGGCCCGAGGCGGCCTTGACGGCGGAGGGCATGGTACGAGTGTTGAGCGGGTCGCAGATGCCGAGCGTGGGCTTGAGGTTGCGGTGGGCGACGCCTGTCTTGGCGCGCTTCGAGACGAGATCGAAGATGGCGGTGCCCGTGGTCTCGGAGCCGGTTCCCGCGGTTGTGGGCACGGCGATGAGAGGCTTCAGAGCCTTGTCCACGGGACGTCCGTTGCCGAGGGGCGCATTGACGAAGTCAAGGAAGGGGGCGTCTGGGTAGCACGAGTACAGGTTCATCAGCTTGGCGGTGTCGATGACGGAGCCGCCGCCGACAGCCAAGAAGGCGTCCGGGGAGAAGGGACGGGCCCAGTCGATGGCCTCGCGGATGCTGCTGTCCTTGGGTTCGACGCGGGTCTGGTTGTAGACCTTGTAGTTGATGCCTTCGCGGTCAAGGGCCTCGCGAACCTGCTGCATGGCAAAGAGACCGTCGACGACCGGGTCGGTGACAACAGCGACGCGCTTGGCGCCCATGTTGGAGAAATCCATGCCGACCTCCTGCGTGGAGCCTGGGCCGAAGCGGATGGAGGAGGCGGCCATCTCGAAGGCATACTCCTTCTGGGGTCCATCTACCGGGGTGGCAAAGCCGCGGCTGCTGTTACCTGTCCGCAAGGGCCGTGGAGTAAAGTTCAATGGGTTATGGTGGTGGTGGTGGCCAGGGTTGGTGTGGCACGGGCATGATGGCGGATGGGCCTGAATTGTCCGTAGGAGAGAGACGGCACGGGATGCTGCCTGGAAGGATCATGAGCGAGGAGCTGGGCCGAGAGGGCAAGACACGTACGTTGGGGATGACCCGAAGTGAGGGCGTCATGGCTGGCGTAAGCTGTGCGTTCGTGGTCAATGGTCTACTCGATATATGGGATATGTGCTGTAAGACTGTGGTCAATCGATTGGTCTCCTGGGTGTGAGATGAGAGAGGAGAGATGACGAGACGAGAGGAACATGAAGCAGAAACACGATGAGACAAGCGATGTCGGTATTGACGTCCCGCGCCTCCTCCGCACAGAGCTCTCAAACTAGTTGTCTTGGTAATGTCATGGCCGATTTCCCCGGCGGTTGCAGCAGCTTCCCCGCATTCCGACTCCACTTACCGGCCGAACCATCACTGTGGGCCCGTTTGCCGAGGTATATGTACCTGAATCCCTCTCATTCACTTCGTCCTTGGTATGCGCCAAACTCCATCTCTGCGATATGTGATAGCTCTGAAAGCCTTACATATTATCATCGACTGAAGGACCCGGACTTCCAATTCACTTCGTCATGTGTCATCCCACGTGCGTCACCACACCTGCAACGCAAGCAGGGTTGCGTGGTCCCTTGTATCCACAACATTTCTCCAACCCACCTGCCCAAAGGAGCTGGCCGAACGGATGGAACCGCTCGGAGCTTTAGAGCTAGGTACGATGATCGGACTACGTCCGCAGGCGTTGTTGGCCAATAAACCCGGCGTGAGTCAAGTGTGGATGCCAATTTCATCTTTCGACCAGGAAACTTTAGATTTTGCGACGTTACGAGGACTGCGCAGTCAGATGAGGGGAAGACGAGGCATATACCGCACTAGTATAAAGTGAGCCACTGCCCACCCGACTCAGGTGGTCTTGGGATGGGACAGATAGGACAAGTTGAAAGTCCAACTCGACTTGCCAATCACCAATCGCAACTCGGTCAATAGAGCTGACATGGCCACCCAATCGACTCCCCGCGGCCGCATCCGCGATGTCCTCCCGAATCTCCACCTGGGATCATGGCCGGCGGGACCCAAGAATTCCATCACCGACGTTCCCGGCGTATTGGCCTCGACGCAGAGTATCCACAACGATGAGGACGGAGTCAACACCGGCGTGACGGTCATCCTCCCCCGTCGGAATTGGTTCAGGGAGGCCTGCTACGCTGGTATCTTTCGCTTCAACGGCTCTGGGGAGTTGACTGGGTCCCATTGGATTGAGGAGACTGGTCTTCTTGCTAGTCCCATCGTACTCACCAACTCTTTCTCGGTCGGTGATGCCTACCGCGGTATCTATGAGTACGCCACAAAACATCACTCGAACGATGACGGCGAAGTGGACTGGTTCTTGTTACCGGTAGTTGGCGAGACGTTCGACGGTTACTTGAACAATATTGCCAAGTTGGCCGTCAAGTCATCCGATATTGTCAAGGGAATCGATTCAGTGACGGACGAACCTGTTCCCGAGGGGAACACTGGGGGCGGCACCGGTATGGTCTGCCATTACTTCAAGGGCGGAACCGGATCCAGCAGCCGTCTTGTTGAAGGCCTCGATGGCGAGGGCAACAAAAAGAACTACACCGTCGCCGCACTCGTGCAGGCCAACTATGGAAGAGCAGGGCACCTGCGTATCGGTGGCTTCCCTGTTGGTCGTATACTCGAGAAGGAGAAAGCAGAGGCGCAAGCCGACGTGGCACGACACAAGGACCAGAAGGATGGCTCCATCATTATCGTTGTTGCAACCGATGCGCCTCTGACGCCGAGTCAATGCGAGAGACTTGCCAAGAGGGCAACGGTTGGTCTGTCGAGAGTCGGCGGTTATGGCCATAACCCTTCTGGAGACATTTTCCTCGCCTTCTCGACAGGAAACCACATCCCTGTACAGACGGTGACCAAGGGAAAGCGTGAGGTTGACCCTTTCAAGGCCAGGGCGCTGAAGATTGAGGCGATCGATGATACTACTATCAACGGACTCCTAGAAGCGGCGGCAGACGCAACGGAGGAGAGCATCTACAACGCCTTGTGCTCGGCTGAGACATTGACAGGATTTTGTGGACACAAAGTTGAGGAATTGCCTCTTGACCGGTTGAAGGAGATCATGGAGAAGTATGATTCGCAGTTTTCCTGATCGCCTACCAACGGGTCCTTGTGCTTTGAAGAAATATGAGAAGAATCTAGCACACTTCTGCCTTCTCCTGCAGTTGTTCCAAGTCCCTCTTGCTGTCGCTCATTTCATGTCCCTTTTCTCGTGCTCAAAAGGCGCCTTCTCTTTCACCTCCTTGATTTATAGCTGCAACGTCTCCAGCTACTTTCGTCTCGTGATTTCTTTTCCTTTGCCGATAAGACTATTGTATAGATCTTGGGGCAGGAGTAGAGAAACCCTCTCGCAAACACGATAAATATTTCTCACAAGCAGCTCATGCTGTCCGGCGTCAAGGTACTCCTCAGTGCGTATAGCCATTTTGAGTACTCTTTCGGTGGCGTCGTAGACCTCCATAAGTGTCTCGATGAACTCCTGGCGATGTGCTTCCCACACATCCGGGTCAATCTCGTAATCAGACGTAGTCGTTGCAGCGTTGATATTCAAGTTCAGGTGACCAAGGATGCGATTGATTGCGGTAAGACCGCGAGCGAGGCTACTTCTGATAGTTCTTGTCAATATGGGACGTTTGGATAGGAGCAAAGGCTTCCTACAGGGCCTTGTAGACTCGACTCACAGCCGCGGCAGCGGCATCCTCCTCTTCGCAGCATTGTGACGGACCGCTGCCGTCTGGTTTCTCTCTGCTGAGAGGTGTCTCGATTTTGGAGAAAACTGTCAGCATCGTTTGCTGCTAGTCGGGTTGTACTTGTTATCGAAAGTTGGAATAGTGTTTTTAGCCGTGCCAATCTGATTGAATGATGGATAGACGGAGAAAATGTTGAAAGCAAACCTCTTATAACTGGCCTTTTGGTGTGCCCGTAAGGTAGTTCCGGTTTGCTCCGTTCTGTATGGTCTTCTCCTTCCTGTATTTTTCACTTACTGAGGTTCTACGATACAATATTCTCAAAACAAGGAAGGAGAAGTGGAATAAACTTTGAATCTTTGACCAAGTGGTCCATTCGTGGGAAGGAGGTAGGTGAAATTGATTTTCGAATACGGTAAGAGCCTTCTGGAAAGCACTTAGATAGCAAAGGCACAGAAACACCACGGAACCGGGAGCCGAATGAGAACTACACAAGATATCAAGAAACTTCGGCTTCTGTACGAAGTTCAATAGTGCAAGTCAGAAGGGTTACGGAATGAGCTAGACTGTTCCCGCGAGGGAAGAAGGCAGCAGTCCGCTTCCATCAACACACCTCTTCAATCCCAGATTTTATGGCAAACTACCAAACGAACTTTTGAATTTGCTGATGTATAATTCCGATTATCAGAGCCAAAAGGCAGACCAAAAATTTGAGGCTATCTGTTTCTAAATCAGAACCTGCACGTTTCTGCTGCCGACTTTTATGCGCCTCTAGGGAGGTGCGATGTACAGGTTACATCTTAAGGTCCATCAAAAAGCGACTGCAATCTTTTGAAGAGGACTCCGGCTCAAGTACCCAGCATCTGGTAAGAAGAGAGTTTGATGTGGTGGGGTGTTGCCTTGGTCGAGGAATATCCAGGAATGGCAGTGAAGCAAGGGTGGACTGCGAGTAAAGGTGACAGATGGCCTAAACTTTGTTAAAGTTCATAATAAGTCAACTAGTTGTAGGAGATAGATTTAAGAATGTGTATTTCTCTCAATGGAAATGTTGAGGAATATTTGACTGGCATGCCCACTCGCTGGTTGACAGACTCCTAAATACAATTTCCATCGTTGGAGGCGAAAGATATCAACTTTGGCTTTGGGCCTACGACTTAAAACCATCGTACCAAAAAGACTTATCCGTTCTAAGAGGTTCTTGTATATGTTCATTGTCTTATACGACAAGGCCTTGCCCGCAATACCTCACCCTTAGCTTACACTCAAGATCGTAGCCAAGGCGGTTCGTTGCAGGCAATGCCACGTCAATAACCAAGCTTACAGAAGCATAGCATATGGCAGGGAGCTTGAGAGAAACTTCGAGTTCACGAGTGGCCCGCAGTCAAAGCAATAGTGTTTTCGCTCGACTTCGTTCACCACGCGACAATCCGTACTTGCAGGTCATGTCTTGCTTAGGCGTTCAGGGTAGCAGTGCGGAAGCACAGTGTCGTTCTTCCGACAACACGGCGAAAAAGTACCCCTCCCCCACGCAGGTCACTGCCCCTCCATCCAAGGCGGTGAGTCAGGGCAAATGAGTCAATGGCACTACCCCGCTGTAGCCAATGCACTGCTGCCCCTCGTCACAGCTGCTAAATAATTTTATAAAACTTCGATCGTGAGACGCAGCAAATTTTGGTGAGTCGATACGATTTTTCCGGGCGCCCCCTTCACAAACCCAACCCTCTCCACGAACTTTGTCTTTATTGACAAGTTCCCCGTGATACAGCAAACCCGCAATCATGGCCGACCCCAGCGCTTCCGAGCCCCCCACCGAGCAGGTCAAGGACCTCAAGGTCGAAGAGACCGCCAAGCTGCTCAAGGACGATGTCACCGGCGAGATGGTCTCCAAGACGGAGCTGAAGAAGCGCCAGAAGGCCCGCCAGAGGGAGGCTGAGAAGGCCAAGAAGGCCGCTGCCGCCCCTCCCAAGCCCGCCGGCAACGCTAAGAAGGGCAATGCCGAAGCCGACGAGAAGAACCTGGACCCCAGCCAGTACTTCGAGAACCGATCTCGCGCCATCAACAAGTTCGTGTTGTCCAGGAGTCATCCGTGATATGTGCACTGGGGCTGATATGTTGCGACAGGCTGCGCGAGACCAAGTCTCCCAACCCTTACCCCCACAAGTTCCACAGTGAGATCTGCGCAACGTGATCCCTGAACGAATCTGTATACTGATCTCGATACATAGCCAACTACGACTTGCGCAACTTTGTCAAGGACTTCGGCCACCTCAAGTCTGGCGAGCATGACAAGGAGAAGGTCGTCCGCGTGGGCGCTCGTATCTACAACAAGCGTGCCTCTGGCAACAAGCTCTTCTTCTACGACATCCGTGCCGAGGGCGTCAAGGTCCAGGTCATGGCCCAGGCGCAGGAGGTCAGCGAGGGCAGCCCGTCCTTCGAGGACCAGCACGTCCACCTCCGCCGCGGTGACATTGTTGGTATCATCGGATACCCCGGCCGCACGGCACCCAAGTCCAAGATCGAGAAGGGCGAGGAGGGTGAACTGTCCATCTTCGCGACCGAGTTCGTCCTCTTGACCCCCTGCCTGCACACCCTGCCCGACGAGTACTACGGCTTCAAGGACCACGAGGAGCGTCACCGCAAGCGCTACCTGGACCTCATCATGAACGACAAGAGCCGTCAGATCCTCATCTCCAGATCCAAGATGGTCACCTACATCAGAAGATTCTTCGACGAGAGAGACTTCATCGAGGTTGAGACGCCCATGATGGGTCCCATTGCCGGTGGTGCTACCGCCGCTCCCTTCGTCACCCACCACAACGATCTGGACATGACCATGTTCATGAGAATAGCTCCCGAGCTCTACCTCAAGGAGCTTGTCGTTGGTGGCCTCCACCGCGTCTACGAGCTTGGTCGTCAGTTCAGAAACGAGGGCATCGACCTCACCCACAACCCCGAGTTCACCACCTGCGAGTTCTACCAAGCCTTCGCCGATGTCTACGACATTATGGACTTGACTGAGGAGCTGGTCAGCGGCCTCGTCAAGCACGTCACCGGCGGCTACAAGACCAAGTTCCACACCCAGCACGGTGAGGTGTACGAGGTCAACTGGGAGAAGCCCTGGAAGCGCTTCGAGATGATTCCCGAGCTCGAGAAGGCCACCGGCGAGAAGTTCCCCCCCGCCGACCAGCTGCACACTGCCGAGACCAACGAGTTCCTCCAGAAGGTCCTCAAGAAGATGAAGCTCGAGTGCTCGCCGCCCCTCACCAACGCCCGCATGATCGACAAGCTCGTCGGCGAGTACATCGAGGAGCAGTGTATCAACCCCTCCTTCATCTTCGGCCACCCGCAGGTCATGAGCCCCCTCGCCAAGTACCACCGTGAGATCCCCGGTCTGTGCGAGCGATTCGAGGCCTTCGTGTGCAAGAAGGAGATTGTCAACGCCTACACCGAGTTGAACGACCCCTTCGACCAGAGACTGCGCTTTGAGGAACAGGCACGCCAGAAGGATCAGGGTGACGACGAGGCCCAGCTCATCGACGAGAACTTCTGCATGTCGCTTGAGTACGGTCTGCCGCCCACCGGTGGCTGGGGAATGGGTATCGACAGAATGGTCATGTTCTTGACCGACAACTACAGCATCCGCGAGGTGCTTGCCTTCCCCTTCATGAAGGAGGAGAAGCAGGGTGAGAAGAAGGCTTCCGCCGCCGAGGTTGTCGGCGTCAAGCCCGTCCCTGAGGAGGGAATTCGTGAGTCAATCCGCCACCAGTCATTATGAAATCTCGACTAATGCCAAGTCACAGCCCACAAATAGAGAATTCGCCCGGCATTATGGGATTGGATGTCAAGACGAAGAGCCTTATATGATTGTCTACTCGTGAGAGCACGCAATGGTGCCACTAGTGATATCCGGCAGACATTCCATAGTCTAGAGTTGAGTTTCTATTTAAAACAAAAAAATTGAAATGGGATAGACAAGAGATACATAAGGGGTCACCGCGAAGGGTCTGACCGTACCCGTCCTCGGGGTGATATTGCTACAGTGTGTTATTGTTGTACATATTTACGTTGTGTGAATCAGGTGCCAAAATGCAGATGCTGTCGCTGCCATAATGCAGTTAACCAATGTAACTGTAACTTTTCAAGGTCGCTAAAACGTGGCTTATTGGGGCTTGATGGCTTTGATGCGCTTCTGGATCATGGCCAGCGTGGACTTGGGCACACGCAAACGGTGTCCAAGGACCAGAGCACCGGTGAGCAGCGCAAGAGCGCCAGCCTGGTGAGCCGCAGCTAGAGGGACGGGAACGATGTAGATGAGGGTGCTGATACCAAGTGCGGCCTGCAGCAGAACGAGGTGAACAGTGCCCAGGATACCCTTCTTCACGTCCTTGGGAAGAGCGCCAGAGACACGGCGGGTGCGGGAGTAGGCGAAGAGGGAGAGGATGGAGCAGAGGGTGGTCATGGCAAGAATGCGGTGGTCCAGCTGGACGGTGCTGGGGTTCTCGAGCATATTGCGCCACCAGAGATCAGAGCCGTCCTCCTTGCGGGAGTAGAAGTTGTCCCAGAGCTCCTTGGACGGCGGGGTCAGACCCAGGCCCATGTAGGGGAACTCGTTGTAGATGAGACCGGCGTCGAGGCCAGCGACGAGGGCACCGGACATGGCGGTGGTGAAGACCAGGGCGACGAGAGCAAACGAGAGGCGGCGGAAAGTCTTGATGGCGGGGTTCTGCAGCGCGGCAAAGGCCTTGGAGGCGGCGACGGGGTCGGCTAACAGACGGCGAGTGCGGAAGACGGTGAGGGCCGAGAGGAGCATCCATGAGTAACACACAAAGGCCGTAGCGAGATGAGCAGTCAGGCGGTACTGGGAGACGCGCGGGTGAGATCCCGGAGCGAAAAGGTCGTCCTTGAGGCCGGACTTCACCATCCACCAACCAATGAAGCCCTGGAAGCCGATAAGGCAAGAGATTCCACAGAGGTTGAGGGCCATCTTGGGGGTGACACGGCGGCGGGCGATGAAGTATAGGGTGGGCAGGACGAAGGTCATTCCGATGACGCGACCCCAGAGGCGATGGGACCACTCCATGAAGTAGATCTTCTTAAACTCGTCCAGGTCCATGTGCGGGTTGAGGAGCTTGAACTCGGGAGATGCGCGGTACTTTTCGAACTCGGATTCCCAGTCTTCCTGGTTTCGCGGAGGGAGGGAGCCGGTCACGGGACGCCATTCGGTGATGCTCAAGCTGCATTGGCGTTAACTACGGTTTGCACAAGTGGTAGAGAGAGGCCAATGGTGGAAGAATCATACCCAGATTCAGTCAACCTCGTAAGACCACCCCAGACAACAATTCCAAAAACGCTGATGGCGCTGCCAACGAGCCAGTAGCCAACAGACTTGGAGTTCGTCTCGGGCCACGCGCTCTTCTTGACGCCCTCCTTCGCTGCGGCCACAGCCTGCTCGGCAATCGGGGAAGCCTTGTCGGCGATGGCATTACTGCTGAAGTTCAGCGGCGCCTTGGTCTGATTGAAGCTTCGGGTCTGCTGGGATCGTACGATGCTGTCGACGATGCGGGACGGGGACGAGCGCTGCCATTGCGGCTGTTGGCGCTGGCATTGTCGGCATACGAGGAGCGAGGGAGATGCTCTCAGGGCGAGCCTTCGCAAGCCGGGCGCGAAAGAAGCCATGTTGGGTGGTTGCTGTGTTGTGTTGTTTGCGCAACCGCACAGAGATATGCGCGGGTGGTGCGAGGGTTCTGGGTGTACACATGAATCATAGAACCAATTTATTTAGAAATCCAAAGCAGCGGAGTGGCTCGGGGTTCCCTAGCCAGTAAGTTCCGGGCCCCTTCGGCGTGCGCGCTGTGCAAAGTGGGCCCACTGGTTCGATCGCAAGGTCCCCTGAACGTCGGTGGGCGGAACAGAGCGCGGGAATCGATTCTGAGCTGCTGGTGCCACGGGCAGAATCCGACAGGGGTCTACCGACCCCACTGTAAATTTCTTGTTCACCGCCTTTCGCCCACCACGGCAGAATCAGAAAAAGTTGCCCATGCTCTTGGACGGTGTGTGCGTTGCGTTCGGGCGGGACAAGTGAAGATTGAAGCACACGACCACCCAAGACAACCGCCTTCCCCCCGCGACCCTCCTCCCTCAACCCACATACAAGATGCCCGGCAGACAATCCCACGGGCGGCCTCTGCTGTCCTCAAAGTCGGCACCAAAGAACTTCCGCAAGTCGAAAGCAAAGGCCCAGGCCAAGGCGCTCGACGCCTTCACCATTGCCTCGGAGCAGTACCCGACCAAGGAGAAGCGCACGCCGCGGTTTCGCGAAATCGAAGCCGCGCCCGACACCGGAAAGAAGCACAGCCGCGCGGACGACGACGAGGATGAGGACGAAGACGACGACGACGACGAAGAGCAGCCCAGGCGGAAGAAGGCGAAGCCCTCTGCTGGCGGCGCCGGCGGCAACGACTCGGATGAGTACGGCAGCGACAGTGAGGGGAACGAGTGGCATTACGGCGTTAATGATGACGAGGACTCGGAGCTCGACAGTGACGAGGCGTTTGGCGAGAGCGACCAGGAGGATTTCCAGGGCTACTCCTTCAGAGGCAGCAAGTCTGCCAAGGGAAACCAGGTTTGTGATGAATCGGAAGCGCATGCCCGTCAGCATTTTACTGACATCATGACCAGGACGACTCGGAAGAAGAGGAAGACGACGACGAGTCGCTCGGCGAGGATGCGATAGACCTGGCGCAAGCCCTGGACGAGTACGAGTCCGACGAGTCCATGGCCGACCAAGACGAGGAGGACTCGGAGGGATCCGACGACTCGGAGTCCGAAGCCGAAAGCCCGCCGTCCTCGGACGAGGACGACGACGAAGAGCAGGAAGCCGACCCCTCGAAGCTGGGCGAGCTGCAAAAATTCATCGCCGGCTTCGGCGGCGAGGACGACAAGGACGCGGCGCCCACGAAGCAGAAGCAAAAGATCAACCTAAAGGACCTCGGCCTCGCGGGCGTCAAGGACGCGCAGATGCGCAAGTCGGTCAAGCTCATGGCTAAGGAGGAGAAGGAGACGTCGCGGCCCGGCGCGGGCAAGAAGCTCGAGGTGCCGCTGTCGCGCCGGCAGCAGGACAAGCTGCAGCGCGCGGCGGCGTACGAGAAGGCCAACGAGACGCTCACCCGTTGGCAGGAGACGGTCAAGCTCAACCGCCGCGCCGAGCACCTCGTATTCCCGCTGCCGCAGAACGCCGCCGACGCGGGGCTCGACAACCGCGAGCTGCAGGCCATCACAGCCAAGAACACAGCGTCGGAGCTCGAGCAGACGATCCTCGGCATCATGGAGCAGTCCGGGCTCGCGATGAACAAGCAGGAGGAGAATAAGATGAAGAAGGCCGAGGCCGAGGAGGGGCTCTCCCAGGAGGCGCTCAAGGACCTCGTCAACCAGCGCCGGCGCGAGCGGGAGCTCAACTCGCGCGAGGCCAAGCGCGCGAAGCGCATCAAGAAGATCAAGTCCAAGGCGTATCACCGCGTGCACCGCAAGGAGAAGGAGCGCGAGGAGATGAAGCTCCACGAGGCCATGGCGGAGAACGGCGAGATCGACTCCGAGGCGGAGCGCGACGCGCAAGACCGCGCGCGGGCCCTCGAGCGCGTCGGCGCCCGGCACAGGGACTCCAAGTGGGCCAAGCTCGGCGCCGGCAACAAGCGCGCCGTATGGGACGACGACTACCGCGCCGGCCTGCACGACATGGCGCGCCGCGAGGAGGAGCTCCGCAAGCGCAAGGAGGGCCGCGCGGGCGGCGACGAGGACTCGGACCGGTCCGCCGACGACGGCAGCGACAGCGACGGGTCGGACGAGGAGGGCGGCGAGCAGCACAGGCTGCTGAAGCAGCTCGACCGCCTCGAGCAGGAGGAGGACGACGGCCCCGCGTCGAAGCTGATGCAGATGAAGTTTATGCAAAAGGCCGAGGCGGCGCAGAAGAAGGCCAACGACGAGCTCATCGCGCAGATCCGCCGGGACCTCGACTCGGACGCCGGCGAGGGCGACTCGGACGCCGAAGTCACCGAGGTCGGCCGCAAGAAGTTTGGCAGCGCCGCGCAGCCCGCCATCTCGGCGCCCGCCCTGTCGGCCCGGAAGCAGAAGCAGAAAAAGGCCGCACAGGCCGGCGACGACGATGATGACGACGACGACGACGACGTCCCCGACAACAGCGTCGTCAACACGGGCTACTCGCTCACTGCGGAGCCCTTGACGACGGGCTCCGCGTGGTCCTCGGGCCCGCGCAAGAAGTCCGCCAAGACGGGCGGCAAGAGCAGCGGCGCGCGCGTCGAGGACCTGGACAACACCGTCGCCATGACGGCTGCCCCCGGCAAGCCCAAGTCCAAGTCCAAGCCCAAGTCCTCCGCCGCCGCCGCGGCAAGGAGAACGGGCGGCGCGACCCTCGCCGACGAGGAGTCGGACGGCGACTCCGACTCCCCGGACGTCCACCTGCCCCTCGCGATCCGCGACATCGCGGCCATGGACAAGGCGTTTGCGGGCGACGACGTCGTCGTCGACTTTGCGCGCGAAAAGGCCGATGTCGAGGCCGAGGACGACGACAAGATTGTCGACAACACCCTGCCCGGCTGGGGCGGCTGGGTCGGCGACGGCGTCAGCAACCGTGAGAAGAAGCGCCAGCAGGGCCGGTTCGTGACAAAGGTTGAGGGCGTCAAGAAGGCGGACCGCAAGGACGCCAAGCTGGACAAGGTCATCATCAGCGAGAAGCGCGTCAAGAAGGTTGGTTTTCCCCCTCCCCCGTCCTCCTCTATTTTGTTCTCGTTGCAATCTTCCCACGCCGTCTCTATAAACTCTGCTAACACGTCTCCAGAACGACAAGTACCTCGCCTCTCAGCTCCCCCACCCCTTCGAGTCCAAGGCCCAGTACGAGCGCTCGCTGCGCCTGCCCCTGGGCCCGGAATGGGTCACCAAGGAGTCTCATCAGGAGGCGACGAAGCCGCGCATCCTTAAGAAGCAGGGCATTATTGCGCCCATGTCAAGGCCGACCATGTAATGGAGTGGAACATGTCGTTAAGAAGCATTGCATGTTGAACACCGCTTTAATTTTCGAGGTCGCTGGTAGAGATAGAATTCTTCATGTTGGTATCCGGCGCGGTACCAGAGGCGCCAATGGCAATACAAAAAAGGCACAGTTTTTTCGTTATTCAGACAATCCTGGTGTTCTTATTCTTGTTCGATCAAAACACTATAAAGTAAAGACCTCGGGAGATCATGTTTTCGTCCTTCCCGGCTCTCAAAGCTCCTACCAAATTTTTTCCGTTTTGTAAAAAAGAAAAGGAGCCTGGAATCCGAGCCCCTAACTCTACTCCAAGAAATATAATACAGTTCGCACTTACGTACACTAGGAAATACACAGGGGTTCCGCGATCATCATCTAGAGAGTGATTTATCTGTTGGCTTTCATCCAACAGTTGGTCACGTTTGGTTAATAGTTTCGTAACAACACAACGATGCCAAGACGCCCTACAAGAACAGGGAGAGGAATCGTTCGTATGTTGATTTTTGGGTCGCCAAACGCTACCATGGCTTAGCATCCTCAGCCATTGTTCTTTCAACTCTGGACAACAGACAAGACCCGGTCCAGCGCATCGCTTGGGCTAACGTAGAAGGCCAGGGCGATAATAATGTAGAGGCCGAGCAACATGGCTCCCTCGAGGTAGTTGGACTTGCCGTCCTGCACAGTGTACGTAACCACCAGCACGGAGAACGCGAAAGCAACCGTCTCAAACGTCTCGAAGTGCAGAGTCATAGGCTTGTCAAGGACAGCCCATCCGAGGATGACTAGGAAAGGAGTAACGAGGAGGGCGATCTGAATGCTGGAGCCGATGGCAACACCCATAGCGAGGTCCATCTTGTTTCGGATGGCCACGACGACGGCCGTGACGTGTTCTGCCGCGTTGCCGACGATGGGAATGAGAATCAGACCGATGAAGTTCTTGCTGATGTGAGCCGTCTCGACAATAGGGTCGATGCTCTCGACAAGGTAGTCGGCGCAAATGGCAACCAGAACAGTGGTGACAACAAGCACAACAGCGGCAGCGATAGGGCCCATAATGGGCTCTTCGGCCTCCTCTTCGTTATGGTGCTGGATCTCGGCATCGAAAAGGTTGGGGTGGGTGCGCAGCTGGAACCAAAGGTAGAGGACGTAGAGCATCAGCAGAATGATGGCGGTACCGCGGGACAGAACCAGAATGCTGTGCTCCTTCTCAACGCTATCGGCCTTGTCGAGCACAGAGTAAAGCTGCCATATGCCGTTAGTCAATGAGCAGGGGTGCGTGAGCGGGCTGGGATGCTTACTGTGGCGGGGATGACAAGCGAGGCAGAGGAAAGCGTCATCAGCGAGCAGGTGGTTTGCGCCGTAGCAGAGGCAAAGCTCTGCTCCATACCTTGGCCAGTGACCCTGTCGCGCATGTTGACAATGCCGCCAAAGAAGAAGCACATGCCCATGACAAGAAGCAGGTTGGAGAGAATGGAGCCGAGCATGGACGACTGCACGACCTCGATCTGACCCTCCTTCAGGGCCACAATGCTAACAATCAACTCAACGGCATTTCCAAAGGTGGCGTTGAGCAATCCTCCGAGAGCTTCGCCCAGCTTCATTGAGATTTGTTCAGTCGCAAACGACAAAACAGCAGCAAGCGGAATAATGGCGAAGAAGTTGATTGTGAAGACGGCAGTCGGGCTCCAGTGAAGCTTTCCGGCAACAATGCCAAGAGGCACCATAACAAGTAGAAAGTTGACATAGTCTGTGAGGAGAGCGGGTTGTTAGCATTCGCGGCGCAATATCGCCTGCTTCCCCGAAGCGCCAATGGATGCGGTGACTTACTGCTCAAGAGCGATACCTTGGTAACGTGCCATGCCTGCGAGGAATACCTGACGGCGATGTTGGGGCTATCGGTGCCCGGAGTATGTGTCGAGTTGAAGAGGAACTTGAGCGTCTTGTTGCCGCTGTCGCCGTTGGCGACGTGGTTCTCCTGGTTCGCCGCGTGGTTGCCGTTTACAAGGAGCGGCGAGCTCTCGTTGGCGTCGCCATCGCGTCCATTGGGCTTGTTGGCGGTGCCCCAAGAGCGGACCTGTCCGCGAAAATGCTGGTTGACTGAATTGTCGGACATCGCACCGTCATAATTAGCCGGAGCCCTGACCACTAAAGCAAAGATATGTCTCCCGTCGCCGTCGCGTGTCTGGTAATGGGTAGGCGTATTTCAGGGTAAGGCAGCCAGCGGGTGAAAATGGAAGAGGAAAAAAAGGTAAGGTAAAGGTAAGGGAATGACGATCCACGGGACAAGGCGGCCAGGTAAAAGATGGGCGCCGAAATCCTATGCAAGTAGGTGGGAAGAATGGAAGAAAAAAAGCAGTGGTGGGTGGTTTGCGATGCTGCCAGAGTGTGGCTTGGAGGAAAGAAAGAAGTGGATGACTTTTTGGTTGCGGCAGAGAGAAACAGAAGAGCAAGCCTAAGACTGCGCGTGCCAAGCTCAGGGTGTCCAGGGAGATGCAGCTCTAGGACATGGGGGGGAGGAAAGTCCAATGGGGCCTTGCCGGGGCTACACTAAGGTGACAGTGGATGGTGGGAAAGTGGAAGAATTGTTGAACTACAGACAAGGCGGGTTCAAGGTAGGTAGATAGGCAAGGTAGGCAACTGAGGGAAATGAATGCCAAGACGAAGTTAGGCGGGCGAAGTACTTACACACCATGTTGTGTGCGACGGGTGACTCTTGGCCTTTTTTTTTTGGTGCTGTTGCTCAGTATCACAAACAGCCGGCACACCCAAGCTGAGGTATCTCCGATAGTAGTTGATAGTCACCACGGACCGGACGAGAATTTCGCTGGAGGCCCTATGCCTGCGGCGCCTGACGGCGAAGAGAGTGGGGTAAAGGTCGGTCAGTGACGGTGTGGTCCAATGACGCGGAGCTATGGGAAGCACGTTGGGCGCCAAGTCCCAAGGCACTGAGTGATCTGTATCGGAAGAAGGTGGAAGGTGGTCCAAGTGGGTTGGATTGAACGTGCGGGAAGGACGTGACGATGCTGCAGCAGTGCTAGAGTGTCTGCAGAGTGAGCGCGGGGGGGGCGAGCCAAGTCGAATGGGAGTCGAGGTGGGAGTATTGAGTCGAGTCGGGCTTTGCAAAGTGGTGTCTGTCCGTTTGGAGAGACGGTGTGTGAGCGAGCGCAAGACCAATTGGTAGTCTCTGCGGCGATGCAGCAATAAGACGAGACAGGCTCTGTGTAGTTGCTGGTATAAATGTAGCAACGGCAGCAATCTGTTCGACAAAGCCGTGTTCCAGGAGTTCAGGCGATGGCAAAATGGGAATGGGTACGGAGGGCGGTTGAACAAGAAACGAACACAGCCCCCTTTTCCTGTCAGGCGAATATGGATAAGGTGGGACGGACGCTGTGGTACCCAAGAGAAGGAGGGACGGGACGAGACGAGACAGAAAAAGACGCTGAGAGAAGCCACGAGCCGATGAGGAGGGAGCGAGGGAGTGGCAGTCGTGGTGGGAATCACAGTTATGGGTGCGCGGGCGGCCTCCCTCGCCGGAACAGCATGCCGGGGACCGCTAGCACCGATCCAGAATTTTCAATGACTGCATCCAGCACCTGGCACAGCACTTCTGGCGCCTAATTACCCTTCCATGACTGCATCGAGCTGTCAGAGGGGATCTGCTGGCGCTCTCTCGCTGTTCCCCTCTCCTCTCCACTACCAAACGACCTGGAAACCAGGGAATAAAAGCTTCTGGTAACCCGTGGCTTCCTCCTAAGGCCCCTCTGCAGGACTCCCCCCAAAACGTCATACAACCAACTAGCCAGTCACGAACAGGTTTCAGTCTTGGGGAGCCAAGGGGGATGGTTGGCGACACCCAATGGGAAGCTTCCTGGGATGCCAAGCGTGGCTGTGTTGTCTGGCGTTGCTTCTGATATTTCTCCGCTGTTTCCTGTTTGACGCCCGCCCACTTGCCTAGTGTACCTGGCTTGCCCGGATTGCTAGGCCCTCCGTGCCTGCCCTCTTCCGCCTGGACCTCCTTCCCACATTTCCGCCTCTAAGTACCGCCTCTGCCAGCACCGCTAATAAAGGTACATACACTCTTCTCCCCGGTGCCGACGCCGACGCCGACGCCGTCATCGTCTGCCTCCAATCCTCTCAGACTCTGACCGTTTGTCCCGTCATCCACACATTTAACTCCATTCGGCATCCCTCGCATCGCATCACATCGCATCGAAAAAGAGGAAGAGGGACCATCACTTGTCTGTCATCTTCAAATCCTCCTGCTCGTGATTAGACACCAAGGCTATCACGTCTTCTCCTCCTCCTCCTCTCCCTCCTCCTCCTCCTGCCTCTCCAATGTCCGAACTCAAATTTGCATACCCGCCACGCATCGCCTCAGCAACCTTGAGGTAAAGAATGACACAATAAAACAAACGATCGACTTCGGGCTCGGCTTGACAGTCTGTTTCCACATTTCCCCCTCCGGACACGCAGCCGTCCCACTGCCAGGCAATTCGTCCTGACATTCGGCTCATGGACCGGACGATGTGCGACAAACAGCTCGAGCTCCAGCCCACCACAGTTGCACAGCTCCCCTGGCTGTTCCATTTTCGGCTCTCGCCGTCCTTTTTTTCTTTTCTCAAACTTCAAAACGAGGGGCCTATTCCTGGTCTCGTCCGAAGACTATTGCTCCGACCAAACAATGGATTATCACGGTGCATGGTACAGAGCACTCGTAAACCTTGATGGTTCTATTTGCGCCTTCTTTGCCTCTCACCCCACAGTCTTGCAACCACCATCGAGGCAAACAAGCTCCAGAGCAGAAATCCTGGAAATGCTGTTTTCGGTTGCCCTGCGAAACGCCCTGCCTTGGCTTGCCGGGGGGCGGGGACCCCCTTGTCCACTCGGATTCCAAGCCCCCATGCACCGATCTGCGGCCCCCCCCCAACCACATCGACGCTGAATGCCATGACCGGACATGGGGCCTGCTCGGCACGCTGGACCCCTTATCGTCACTGCTCTTATCGATAAAAGCTTGCTGTCTGTCGTTTCTCGCGGCCTGAGTGCGGCAACTGCAACCAAGCCTCGTCGCTCCGCCGCATAACCATCGTCTTAGCCCTGCGCCAAGCCTCAAGGCAAGTATTCGCTCGCCTGGCCCATCTGGTGAGCCTGTCTCGACTCGTGACTATTGGCTTTGGCAGCAGCAGATATGCGTGGTATGCCTCGCTTTGCAATTTGCGGCATCGAGCATCTTCCCCAACTCTGAATTGCGGGGACGGGGCACTTGGGCTGGTTGGCTGGCCCGTCGGCGATTCATTTGCAACCAACTTTCGAGTCATCCACCCCCCCATGCTTCCATGCGCGCGCTTTTGATGCGGGCTTCGTGCGCTGGCATTTCACAGCCACCACCATCCATTCGACGCATCTCGCGCCCCCATTGAGCGCCGACCACGTTCTCTTAGCCAACTGCATCCACGGACTGCTGCGTCGGGCGCTTCGTCATATACGCGTGGCTTGGCCTGTCAGTTTGCAAGCCAGGCAGAGGTAGCAGCAGTTCAGCGCAATCCTTTGGGGACGAGTTTGGCCATAGAATAGCACCTTGATAAGCTCTCGACGACTTACACATCAGACTTGGCAACTTGCTGCGGATGAACACAACCCCGCCTTGGTCACAAATTTTTACTCTCCACAGGCTGACTTGATTAACATCCAAGTGACCAGAGCCTCAGCATGCCTACGACTGAGAAGTGTTGCAGTTTCTATGCGGTGCATTCGCCCGAGCGCAGCTATGGTAGGCACGCGGTTGTTTGAACGTTGACCTTTCGTCTCATTTTTCGCCCCAGCGCAGGTTGTCATCTAGTGTAGCCCCGTCAGCCAAAGCCTCAATGGGCTGAAAAGCACAGTTGCTTCAGCTCCGGTGCCGACTTCCGAACGAGACAACTTCAAGATACCAGTTGTCCACCAAGGCAATCTTTATAGATAAGGCAACTTACCACGGAACGAAGAAGAACTCCCCTGTGAATGGCGGGTTCTGAAGCTGCACCAACGTCTCGTCGTCCGACAAGTTTGTTGTCCTCAAAACTAGAGTGAGGCACACAAGGCGCGGCACCATATCCGATCCTGAGCTGGAGAGCTTTTGTTGTTGCGCCGTCCACGACTTTCGCGTTATTCTACACTGCATGCACGCTACTTCCCACGGTCATGTCCCTTGCAAATCCAACCGCAGGTTGGTAAGCAAATGTACAGTCGTGAATTTGTATACTGCATGTCATGCTCGACGCACAGTGCTCAAGGAATGCGTGTATGAGAAGAAATATCGTTTTTGTGAACCCCCGGCACGATCTTACAACACCGCCCATACTATACGCACCCTTCGACTAACAGCGGAGTCACCATTTTGATCTGGTTATTTCTGAGAAAACCCGTGGATATGACAACTCGGTCGGCGGCAGCCTGATTTTGAACCGCAGTTGCAATAAGCAATGTGGCGACCAAAAAGCTTAGCGTTCCGGCCCCCAACTTTTTCCCCCCTCTCGTTTCGTGCCGCCCACACGCCCTTCGCACCCGAGTCCCAAGAGACCAGAGGATGCCGGGGACCCGTGGTACGCGGACAAGTGACGCGTCACACAGGGACGCCCGAGGGGGAGACTTCCATCCACTCCTCCGGGATTTCTCTGGCGGTTTCCCCAGACCACCAAGGCCGCGGTTACCGTCTTTTCCATCGGGGGGGGGTTCCGGGGTGTGTGTGTGCCCGTGTCTGTGTAAGTGTTTTTGGAATGTCCGGTTGGATCCCACCCCCCGAGCTTCGAGCTAGCAATGTACAGCTCCCTCCTGCATGCGCTGAGCCTGCTGGCCAGAGACGTAGGTAGGGACCTGATCATGAAAACGGGGGGCATGCAGGATTCAGTTGCTGCACCATTTCTTCAGACGCGCCAAGTTACGGAATTGCTAGATCGGACCTCGGGGTAGTCCAGACCGGAGCCTCGGGACACCTCTTGCATATCATCTGTTCATTGCATGGCCGGTGGGAAAACGGTTGGGCGTTAGCGTTCACTTGGCCGATGCACTTTCTGGCGTTCGGATTCAAAGCAGTAAACTCCCATTCTCATTGATTAAAAAAGATGCTGTCTAATAGTGTTTGGTGTCGGTGTCGTCGTAGGGTTTTCGTGTGTCGTTTCTGTAGTCGTCGTTATCGAGGAATCGCCGTCTCCATCTCTTCGTGGTTCGTTTCCCGTCCCGTCATTACTCATCTGCGTTGCGAAAGGGGAAAAAAATTGAATTCGAATGGTGCCGCCTTCTAAGCTTCATGTCTCATCCACCAATCATAGGGTTCATGACAATCTTGGTGTTTCTAGTTTCTAGCATAGTGTTTCCTGGTATGGTGCTTTGTGGGGGGCCCAGCATCAGACGTTACCCATCACTAGACGTCCAGGTTAGTGGTCGGGCTTCTTGGCACATGTGGACTAAAACTCGACTTACAGGCAGCATACGTCAAGTACCACGTCAAGCTCGCACCGCCGTCGATCCAGCTAGGATCGAAGTTGGAGCTGTTGAAGAAGTCCCACGCGGTCCTACCGTCAATGGTCGCAAGGTTTCCGTATATGATACCCCTCCAGCCGCCCGCGATGCTATCGACGCGACCTCCACTAAAGTATACGTCCCACTCTTCGCGCACAAAGTCGGGCGTGCGGACGAAGGGCGAGGGTGGGAGGAGGGGGATCATGTGGATGCCTTGGATGAACTCGATATTAGCGCCGAAGTAGGTCGTGTGGTCAATCTTGTTCTCGAAGAGGATGCCGGCCACCTTGTTTCCGATAAACTGGGGTGGCTGCACGGCGTTGTCGCTCTTGTAGAGGTAGTAGTCCTGGAGTGCGCGAGCGATGATGGAGAGCTGCAGGTTGCTTCGCATCGAGAGCATGGCGTCTCCCGAGGCGTCTCCCCACATCTTGAGAGCGTATGCGTGCATCATGTCCTCTGAGCTTGATTCTTGGTCCTGTTTGTGAAGTGAGTTGATGCTCTTCGTATGCGGACAGAAATATTTACCTTTCCATCGTACGAGGCGTACAGGCCATGCGCCCAGCTGTGGCCATGGTACCAGTCGAAGGCACGCCATGTAGGGAAGTAAGTGTCCTTGGTGCTGGGGTTGGCAACATCGCGTACCAGAGCGTTCACGTAGTCTTTGTTCTCGGTCAACCAACCTGGATCCAGGTGGGCAATGGCAGCGGCGGCTAGAATGTGGTAGCCGTAGTGGAAGTGGTGGTCGTTGTATTGCGTGTTGCCAAAGTCGGCGCCGTCGTTGCCCGTCACGTAGGTTGCTGAAGACACGACACCTCCCCAAGCAGCTGCATGTCTGTTTAGTATAAGGATTCGTTTGTCATGTCAAGCACAACTTACTCTCATACGTCAATGGAAATTTCTGCTGGTTAGAAGCAAACTTTGCAAAAGCTGTCTTGAGTCTGTTTAGACCCGACTGTGCCAAGGCTGGGTCTTGCAGAATGTCATTGATCACAACAATCAGCAAGGCAAACTTGGCGAGAGCCTACTCCCATGTTAGTCACATCACGAGGGGTGTTTCAAATGCACACACCTTTCCGCTAAAATACATTGAGTCCAAGTCGGACTGGGCCGTCATGTCTTGGGACACCTCCTGGGCTGCTATCCCGCGGATCACGACCCGTGCGTTGTCAGACAGTGTTGTCAGGCTGCCTTGTTCAGGACTCCACGGAGCAAAGTTCATGTTGATGGGCATATTCGCCTCAGTCATCGTCCACTGGTCAGCCAAGACCGCAGTCGCGATTCCCTTAGTAGGGGTCATGAGCTGCACCGGCTGAACGGCGCTTCTTGTCGTGGTATCAAACGAGGAGACGTGATGAGGCAGCGCATACATGACCAGCTTTCCCTCCGGGTGACCGTCCTTGGCAAACTTGAAGCTGTATGAGCCCGTAGTACCGCTCACGGAGCCAGTCAACTCCACCGTCGTGGGATAGACACCAGCAGCCTGGTCAAGCAAGGCCTCGCCGTTTCCGGGATCCTTGGCGACCTGGACGATGCCATAGAAGGGCTGCGTTGATTGAGCGACTCCATTGTTGACAACCTGCAAGTTAAGCTGTGGTCCAGTGGTTGCATATGCATACAGCCGCCAGATCTTGCCGTCTTCAAGCTGGAAGGTGTATTTGGCAACGCCCGGCTTGGGGTCCTGTGTCACTCGTGTGACCGTCTTGAAGAACACTCCCGTCCGGATAACAGGGGTCCCTCCGGCGTATTGGGCGGTGATGAAGGGCATTCCTTGGACAAGGGGGAAGGAAACCGCAGGCACAGCTTGGGCATTTGGCTTCAAGTGAATCGTTGCAGAGAAGGCCGTGATGCTGTCGATTCCCACGGCGGTGTCCGAGCCAAGCTCCTGGGCGCTGATGACCATGGATTGAATACCTACCGGGTTGATGAAATAGGCCGCAGCGCCAGAAGCCTTAGTAGGCCCAAAGACACGCTGATTCGCCTCGATGTGGGAGATAGTCATGCCGAAGCTGGCAGCGGCCCCTCGTCCTGCCCCCCATGCTATGCCGTAAGGGTAGGTATACGTCGGCGCCGTCTGGTCTCCCAGGAAGAAGTTGGAGTAAAACTTGTTTGTTTGAAGCGGTGAGCTCGATGTGATACCCTTCCTCGGGACAGGGTGGTCGTTGCGGACCGGAATAGAGCCAGGAGGGGCCACCGTAGCGATGGGCTCCGCAAAAATGTCACCGGACGGCATTGGTACGGAAGGGATTGGTGCGGCTGTTGTAACTGGTGATGTCGAGTCAATCAAGGTGGTTGGCACCGGAATGCTATTCGACATAAGAGGGCAAGATGTTGCCTTGCCAGAGGTTTCCAGACTACTAGGTATGAACCCGGATGTTTGAGGGACCTTGTCAGTTAACGATGGCAAAATCACTACTGTTCCTGAGGGGTCTGCGGTGGTAATGGCAGAGATAACGTCGGTGGTGTCAAAATTCGGTGCTGATGTTTGCTGCGCTCCTCTCGTGACTTTGACTGTGACAGTCAAATTCGCCGTTTCCGTGAGGCAGGTAAGATCACGACTATCGAGCAGCAAAGAGCGGATGTTCAGCTGGCCAACATTCTCCGGGCCCGGGTGAGCAGGGTGAAGCCGAACGTGCTGCTGGTGGAACAAGCCGAGGGCACTTTCGCAGAATAAGACCTGTATCAAAGTTAGCCCAATGATCCCCATTTTCAAGTGAAGGCCCGCCATTGCGGGAGAGTATAATGTTTGTTCGTTTCGGCGAGAGCCAGTCAAGAAATTCAAGCCCAGGTCTGGCTTCTTGATACGTGATAGAGCGTTGCGAAAAGGAGAAAAGTTCCTCATCTGGTCAGAAGGTAAATGTGCGACGCTTCGAGGTTCATATAAACGGCGCACGCAGAGAGCAGCCGGATCAACAATGGAAACCGGCCGCGGGCCGGCAGCGTCATGCCCCTTGGCCCTACTACCAAAGTCCAGAACATGATAGGTTCCGTCGTTACCGTGCAACACGAGGGTGCAGGAATGTGGGAGTTCCAGGAACAATGGAGAGGTCTCACCTGTTAGGAATGTAGAACGTCCTGCCAGGGAACTCGGCTAAGGTCAAGTGCGAAGCGGGCAGTGTAATAGGGCAGCGAGGGGCTTGGGGACTGAGGAATCGTGATCAGACAAGACAGGCAAGCGTCTGCAGTGAGTCTGTCTACGTATCGCTGGAGGATTGGACGCCCTTTTCCAAAACTGGTGATCGGAAGATGATGTTGTGGCTGGCCGCCGCGGCACTTGTAAGATTCGAGGCTTGAAGAATATTGATGAGAGGGACGTGGTATGGCCGGGAAAGTGAGCAGCCGCCGCTAGTTTAACCGTGAGGTCTCAGGCCCTTTGGTAGCAGGCGCAAGATATGAGGTGTTGGACGTGAAGGAAGTTTCGACTCAATAGATGCACACACGACTAATGCTGCACTGAGCGACCCTCTTTGGCTGACGCGTGCTTGCCCTTGGCGTGGGTACCCTTCGGCATCCAAGCTGCCGTCGAGCAGGCCGAGGACGCTATTGAGCGAAACCGCCAATGGTGGGGAAAATATCGCGCAATTGACAGAGCAACTGGTCACTTGGCCTTGATTGCAATGGAATGCAAGTGGGATGAAGGGCCGTTAGCAGACGGGATGTTGTCTCTTCCAGGGACCAACTCAGTCTTGGAAGGGAACCCGTTGAGCCTTTCGGCGAGACACTCGGGCCAGTGACGTAAGGTAAGTACCGCATCCCACGTAAAGACCAGCTGAGAAGGGGTGGTATTTGCAACTCCAGGACATATTCAAAGGTCATGTAGAGGTTCTCCATTTGATCAGAAGACCCATTGCGATGATACCCTCATCTTGACATGCAGGTAGTCCTTCTTGTGTAACCAGGCCTTTGCCAGTGTGTCAACGGTCAGTCAGACTTGCGGGGCACCTTGGCATGTTCTTGGCAAATGTCTATGGTAAGATTCGGCTTGTCGACGAGACCATGAGGGTGTATAGAAAGAATAGAAAGAGGGAATGGGAGACAGGTAGGGCCAGCAGGATGACACAGAGCTCAAGTCCTTTAGTACCGGCTGAAGCACAACAGTCAACTAAAATCTCGGCACCACCCTCGGGTATCAAATGCAAAAGCCAACTCCAGAGCGCCTATACCGTCCGTACCAAGTGTCAAAGTCCCAGGCCGTTAACCTTCCCCCTGATGCTGTCATCGAGGACTTGCCGTAAGAGGCCACCAGATGCACCCGCTCTTTTATCAGAGCTCCTGGCCCCAGACCTCCTCAACTTATGGATACGATATCGATCTTCCTCCACAGCCGAACTCGCAGCTGCAGAAGCAAACAGAGGCTTCGGCTGTCTTTGTGCACCCTTTCTCAGTTTGTGGGCACGATATCGATCTTCTTCGGCAGCCGCAGCCGTCGCCGCCGTCGCAGCAGCAGCAGCAGCAGCATCGGCCTTTTGCCGCATCTCCTCCTCCGCTTTCCTCCTCTCCTTGCGCTTCTTCTCCTTCTTTCGTCTCTTCTCCTCGCTATCATCCCCAGTGGTATCCCTCGTCTCTTCCTTTTTGCACCTCCGTATCTGCTTGTCGCTGAGCACCCAGGGCTGCCGGAGCACCTCGTCCCGGAACCGTGTGCGTCGCTCCCATAGCGCCACCTCCTGCTCCGTGGACCTGAGGATCTTGACCTTTTCGATTTTGATCTGCTTCTCCTCGCGGAATGTCGCGAGGGCCCCCTTCACGTCGACGACGCTGCCCACATCCACGCCCACGCAGTCCGCGGGCGGCTGCGGCTGCGGCCTGTTGCTGCTGAACCATCCGTTCGTGTTGGGCTTCGGAGTGCTCGCGTCCGATGACGGCGGCGTCTTCAGCGCGACGACGCATTCGATGCAGGCCCCGCTGCTGTCGTCAACCGTGTAGATGCGCCGGCCCGGGAAGTCGTCAACAGCGACAACGATGCCGACGATGCGCGCCCATTTGATAGGTAGGTTCCTGTAAAAGTAGAAATTCTGAACTGCAAGACCGCACACTCGTCAGCATGAACCCGCAATGCATTGCCGGCTTTCGCTGCAGCATACCTTCATATTCGGGCACGGATTTCAGGCCGTGGATGTCGGATACGTGCAGGAGGCACCAAGTGTTGAAGGTCGGGGAGAGGTGGAGGCAGTATCGCGGATAGAGGCCTGCAGATGGATCGCTCGTCATGGCATGGTCGGGCTGGATCAGATGGGTTCTATCTACCCAGATCTGACCATGATCTCTGCAATGGATTGCTACTGATGAGGAGTGGTTCGTCGTGAGACTCGAATGGGCGCGTCGCGTCGAGAATATGCAGGTGGCGCTGAGAAGTTTACTGGGAAATGGTTGACCTGGGGACGCGAATGTCTTACTACCTAGATAGATAGGTAGTACAGCGCTAAGTATCCCCCGCATTGTGGCGCCAGGCAGCGGTTCCTCCAATGCGCTAAGACCTGAACCGCCATGCGCCTTGGTTTTGCATTCAACTAAAGAAAACTGCAAGAGTCCAAATGCGTCTTCTTCTCGATAGTCAATTCTCTATAACTCCGTCATAAACCGTTGAGTCGAATCCATCCTTTCCCGTCAGCCTTTGCCTACTGTAACCCATTTCCTAAGACGCCGAAACAACAATGCCAAGTCTACCGCTTTGACCTTCGTCCCGCTTTCGCGGGTTTGCTCTCCTCCGCCTTGGGCTTCTTCAACCGCGCAGCCGCAGCCTGGAAGGCCTCTTCTGACGGCTCCTCCTCTTCGACGACTCTCTTCTTGCCCTTCTTGGGCTGGCTGGTGGCTCCGTACTTGGCGGCGAGATCGTCCAGGAAGCCGGCGCGCTTCTGCTGATTGCTCTTGATGAGCGCCGCCAAATCATCCTCGCCGCTGTCCTTGGCTTTCTTTTTTCCCTTGGCCTTCTTGTCACCCCCGAAAAGTTTGTCGTGCACACCCAGCTCCTTGGCGTATTCCTCAGCCTCCTGCGCCTCGCCCTTTGCTGCCTTGACGCGGGCCGCCTTGGCTAGTTTGCTTTCCTTGGTGTATCGCTTGAAGGATGGTACATCTTCACTAGCAATGGCCTCGTCGATGATCTTGCGGAAGCGTTCGTCGTCCTCGAGGACGTCGCTTAGCATTACTGTCTCATAGATCTTGTCCATGTCGCCCTTATGCTCTTCGTAGGCAAGCAGGACATCGTCCTTCTCCTCGTCGGAGCCTTTGTACTTCTTTGCGAACTTTTCGATGGCGTCCGCAGAAATTGCATCGCGGAACTGTTCGCGGTAGTAGTCGGACCAGTTGAAGCCTTCCGAGTCGACAATGGACTCGGAAGTCGAGCCGGTAGTATCATAGCGCTTGCGTCGTGCCGGGTCGGAGAGGATGGCGTACGCGAAGGCGATGGACTGGAATTTTTCCTTGGCCTCGTCTCTTTGGTCGTCGGTAACCTTGTCTGCAAGAGACACATCAGCTACGACCCAAGATGCGGGCACGTCTTTGTGACTTACCTGGGTGGTTTTTGAGCGCTGCCTTCCGGTAAGCTGATTTGACCTGGTCGGCCGTGGCTTCGCGCTCCAGTCCGAGAATCTCGTAAGGGTCGATGACAGGGGGCTCGCCCTCAACGAGATCGTCGGAGGAAGACATTTCAGGGGTGTGATGGTGGTGCGGATGTCGAGGTGATGAGAGACGGAAAGTTGGAGCTCTGTGACGCGCTCGAGCTGGCAGAGACGCGACAGCTAAAGTGGTGGGTCGACTACCGTGAAGGTGCTAGTGCGCCAAGACCATTTAGAGAGCCGTGCGCTAGGGACTCGAGCGTCGACAATCGGCGGACCGGGGCGTACGGCACCGATAGACTCAGGAAGAACCTGGATCCATGGACTTCCCTAGGTACTTACCCCTCCTGCGCCGACCAGATCCTTAAAGAGCTGCTTGTCGACCCGAGCTTGCAAACCAGTCTACTAACGTGTCGATCAATCTGCTTCGACAGGGAGAGGCGAGGAAGACGAAAAAGAAAGAAAAAACCAAACCATCGCCAGACTTATAATACCAAACCGGCATTTTCAGCGCCCGTGGCACGTTTCTCGAATAGCTCAAAGATGACATCAGAGGACGATGACATTCAGCATGCGTCGATAGCGCCAGGCGACCACACAGCGTATCTACAATATGCGCTCTCACTCGCAAAGAGGTCGCCACCTAAGCCTACCAACTACAGAGTTGGAGCTGTGATCGTCAACCCTGCCAACAATACGGTCGTCTCAACGGGCTACACGCTGGAGCTTCCCGGTAACACACATGCCGAGCAATGCTGCTTCATGAAGCTAGCCGAGCAGTACGGGGTAACCGAAGAAGAACTCGGGTCGGTGATCAAGACGCCTCTAGCCCTTTACACCACCATGGAGCCATGTTCGATCAGGCTCAGCGGAAATCTACCTTGCACCAAGAGGATCCTCCAACTGCGGTCTTTCATCAAGACTGTCTACGTCGGTGTTCAAGAACCGGAAAAGTTTGTCAAGGACAATACCGGGCGGGGTGCTTTTGAGAGGGCTGGTGTCGATTTCGTTCACGTCAAGGGTTTGGAGGGCGAGATCCTGAGGGTGGCCACAGCTGGCCATGTCAAGAACCCATCATAGGCATGCTTATCGCTGTCTTTGGTCAAAGCTCTCGGTCCGCGGAAAATGATCGTTGTCCAAGCCGCCAGTGCTGGCGAATGCAACGGTCCGTTGCCATGCGCGGCCTGTGTGGTGGATCTGGAGCAACTATCTTGACAGCAAATGAGCCAAACGGCTAGCACCTGAGCCATCATTTACTCACACGCATGCTCTACTTTTATACGAGTGGCACAAGTTATCTTCTTTTGACTGAGAGAAAAGGAGGAGGAAGGCAAGGTTGTTAGCACAATGATGGCCGATATAGTGGGCATGGGCAGATGAGGGGAAGGCAAACGCGGAGCAGCTGTCTATCCATAGGCGAGGAACAAAAAAAGACAAACGGAGCAAGAATTCAATGGCTTGGAAAAGCGTGGCAAGCGAGACCAGAAGCGCTGTGCTGCTGCCGATGAGAGAGGTTTTGCAGCTGTCATCAACAGCCAGTGCCATACCCTCTTTCTTCTCAGTCTGTTCATGGTTCCAAACCGTGAAGCAATCTTCTTCAAAAGTGTTTTACAGAGATAAGTCGTCTACTTCTAGCATGGGAAGCTATTGGAGTTGGTCAGGCTGCCCCCAGCTTGACACGGTTGCAGTTGCAGCTGGATCTGGATGGGGACATCAGAAAGCAGCTGCGGAAGGCCCTCTCAGCGACTGCAAGGTTTCTCGAGGGCCCGAAAGTGTGTCCAGGAACCAAGTCTGCTAATAGCTTAGACACCAAGACGGCGTTCTCTCACAACTATTCCGCGGGCCAATTGGGAGTGTCCCGGAGCAGTTGGGTTTGTGCATGCGCTCAAGCAACTCTTCATCTCCTCTGACGTGTTCACAAAGAAATAGCATGGGAAAACTTTGCGGTATGTTTTGGTATTATCTTATTTGTTGAATGTCTGTGCAGGGAGAGGGGGCGACGGGAGACCGCTGTTTGGTAGATGCACTTATTGGGTAATTGAAGCCTATCTGCTTTTTTGCCTTTTCCAACATCGCCGAAGTATCAACCAGAACCATGTGAATACCTGGAAAGGAAGTTTTGTACCACACCAGATGGCTTGGTGACTCTTGATGATCCCCCCCCCCTTCTGCAATGCTTTGCTTGCCAATATCCCCGTTCATTGGGCAAGTTGACCGTTTCCATATGTCACAGTCAAGACCTTGTTGATAAACTTTGCCAACCCTGCAAGTTCCAGTTATCCATACATCTTACTTTACTATCTTACGGTACCTTCACTGCTGATGTTGCCCTGTCAAAGCTACTTTCATTAATTAGAAGGGGGACCTCTTTTTTTGAATGCCCCTCTGGCATCATGCCCCACTTTGGGGACAAGGATACGCCGTCCCAAGATCCATTGCCATGTCCTGTGTCCATCTCAACCTTAACATCCCGTCCTTCATCGACACCCTCTACTGCATTAATGTACACTCCCCGACATCTCCGGTTGGCTTCAGGCTTGCTGCATAGTGACTCAACGGCCTCCAGCATTCGTTTGCCTACCTTGATGTATCTGTTTGCAGCATCGTCTTTGCCGACAATAGGCTTTTGATCTCCCATCCCGATTATCAGCCGAGCTGCTGGTGGAAGCATGTACTCTCCCTTTTGCACATAAACGGCCCTACTCAACGGCACATTGTAGGATATCCATGTGAATATGCCCATTCCTTCTCACTCCAGCTCAACTTGACATTCATTACACAGAAGCGCTTTGAGACCCTTGTTGTGCGGCATCAGAAGCTCGCCAGAGTCGTAACCTGTTCTTTTCCGGCTTCTGCTCACCGATGGCGGATTCTGGACGTGGAAGCCGCGGCCGCGGCCGTGGTGACTTTGGTCGCGGTCGTGGCCGAGGTGGAGGTGGTGACTTTCAGCCTCGAGGAGGAGGATTTCGTGGCGATCGTGGTGGCGGTAACGTCAGAGGAGATCGCGGCGGCAGCAGCAGCTTTCGAGATGATCGCGGCGGCCGTGGCAGTTACGGAGGTGATCGCGGAGGTCGAGGTGGCGGCAGAGGTGGCCGCGGCGGTCGCCCTCCTCCTTTCGACGGCGAAGGTTCATTCTACGGGTATGTTCACCATCACAGGTTCCACGCTTCGGGTTAGCTAAAAACGTGGTAGTCACAACATGCCCTCTGTTCCCCAGCCCGACAGCAGCATCACCGAGCTCGAAAACAAGATCATCAAGTTCCACCAGTCGAAGGACACTAGTCTCGTCAAGAAGATGAACAGCATGAGTATCAGTGAGACAAGCGCTGTCGCTCTCATGCCCCGTCGTCCTGCCTACGGCACTTTAGGCAACAAGGTTCTTCTTTGGGCCAATTACTTCCACTTGACCGTGAACCCCAACGTCATCTATCGATACAACATTGAAGTCCGTAAGGGTGAAACGAAGAAGGAGCCCACCAGCGCTGAAAAGAGTAAAGACAAGGGTAAGGGGAGAGCGCAGGGTGGTGGCAGCGATGGCGCCCCTGCGACGATTCCCGCTCGTAAGTTAAGGATCATCCTGCAGCATGCTCTCGAGGAGCTTCGGAAACTCGAGCCTGGTGCCATTGTCGCCACCGAGTTTAAAAGCCAGCTCGTCTCGCTCAAGAAGCTCAAGTTGGCTGTCAACCCAATTCGGGTCATCTTCAAGCAGGAGAGCTCTGATCGACAGGAGTCATACTCGGTCAACATTGTCGGCGAGACGGAAGCCCCTTTGGCCGAAATGAAGGAGTATTTGAAGACCATGATTGACAAGAGTGACCCGGACGAAGCTCATTTCCCCAGATTCGCGACCTCTGTGGATGCTCTTGGTGTCATTCTCGGTTACACCTCGCGGAGTAGTGAACGAGTTACTTCCATTGGCAAGGGCCGCTTCTTCCCATGGGGATCCGGGGCGGCCAGCTCTCAGCTTGGTCACAACGACCCGCTCACGGCCATTAGGGGCTATTTTCAAAGTGTTAAGCTCGGCACTGGCAGAGTGCTCCTGAACGTCAACGTCACTCACGGGGTCTTCAAGACCCCGGTCAACGTTAGTGAACTCTGCCGCTGGTTTCATGTGGCCGTCTTCGGTCAGGGCAATCCAACTACAGCCAAGAATGCACGAATGCGCCTCCGTACTCTATCCAAGTTTCTGGCTCGTACTCGAGTAACGGTCAAGTTCCGTGACTCCAACAACAAGGAGATCACGGGCAAGAAGACCATCCTTGGTCTTGCAGACAGGTTCGACGTTTCCCAGGAATTCTTGGGTAAAGATGTGCTCTTCGCCCCAGATTTCAACCATGCCGGCCCTCAGGAGGTCAAGTTCAACCTGCGGGCGCCAGAGGGAAAGGCTACGGTGATGAACAACAGGCCGCCCGGATTTTACACTGTTGATCAATATTGGACATGGAAATACGGCAAGGCTCCCGACAAGACCATGCCCCTCGTCAATCTTGGGACGCACGACAAACCCATGTTCTTTCCTGCCGAACAATGCACCATTATGCCTGGCCAAGCCGTTCGCTCAAAGCTCACTGGCGACGAGACGACGGTGATGCTCGAATTTGCTTGCCGGTCCCCCTTCGCCAACGCCATGTCTTTAACGGTCGATAGCTGTTCGGCTTTGGGCTTTGACGAAGACCTGCTCCGCGGATTTGGTCTGAATGTGGACAAGAAGCTTCTTACGGTTACCGGTCGCGAGCTCAACCCGCCTCCAGTGTCCTACAAGAACAAAGATATCATGGCTCGTGCAGGCTCTTGGAACATGAGCGGCGTCAAGGTCGCAAAGTCTGGACGGAAGATCGATGCTTGGACTTGGGTGCGTATCATTGATGATGATAAGGGCTCTTATGTCCAGACCGACGATATGGCGCGCATCGTCGGAAACTTCTCTCGGTTCCTTGAAACTAGCGGCATCCCGATCAGTCAACAAAGCGCCAACACGCCACGAGACCTCCACGTCGGTCACGGCAACTACGATGCGCCCATTGATGACTACTTTAGTAAGTTGAAGCGATACCTCAAGGACAACACCAAGAACTTCTTTTTGCTTGTCGTCCTTCCCCGTCAAGACTCTGCGCTCTACGGCATCATCAAGAAGCTGGCAGATACGCAGTACGGCATCCACACGATATGTGTAGTGGAGAAAACCTTCATGAAAGACAGTCCGCAGACTTACGCCAACGTTGGACTCAAGTGGAACTTGAAGAATGGCGGCGTCAATCATATTGTCAAGAATCCCATCGACATCATCAAGACGGGCACGACCATGGTTGTTGGATACGACGTGACCCATCCTACGAATATGCCAAACGATAAGAACGCTGCGCCCAGTCTAGTCGGGTTAGTGGCCAGCATCGATAAGGACCTTGGACAGTGGCCTGCGATCGCGTGGGAGCAGCCCGGTCGCCAAGAAATGCTGGGTGATGAACTGACCAGTCACTTCGCGGATCGCCTGCGGCTTTGGATGAAACACAACCAGAACAAGCTGCCGGAATACATCGTCATCTACCGTGACGGTGTGTCTGAGGGACAGTTCACGCAGGTTCTCGATGTCGAGCTGCCCATGATTCGCAAGGCATGCTCCAAGCTCTACCAAGCCGGCCGCAAAGCCAAGTTGTCAATTATCGTATCTGTCAAGCGCCACCAGACTCGATTCTACCCGACTTCGGAGCAGACCATGGACCCCAAGTCACGCAACATCCGCAGTGGCACTGTCGTCGACCGTGGCGTCACTCAGGCCCGTTACTGGGACTTCTTCCTCACGGCGCATACGGCTTTGAAGGGAACCGCCCGCCCGGCACACTACACTGTGCTTTTGGACGAAATCTTTCGTGACAAGTATGGTGTTGGTGACACGGCAGCAAACAACTTGGAGAAGCTCACGCACGACCTGTGCTATTTATTCGGCCGCGCTACCAAGGCTGTCAGCATCTGCCCGCCTGCATACTATGCGGACATCGTGTGCGAGCGAGCGCGTGTGCACCGTCCTGAACATTTCGATGCACCAGACACAGTCTCGAGCGTTAGTGGTGCGTCGGGCCTGACCACGAGCAGACGCGTGCATGACAACTTGAAGGACACCATGTATTACATCTAAGGGCGAGATGCGTTTGGTGTTTTGGAGGCGATTGGATCGGACGGCGTTTGGTAAGAAGACGAGGAGACATCAGATGTGCTACACAGTGGTTGCGTGATGGAGCTAAATTGAGTATCACTGAGAAGTTACTGAAACAAATGTTTTTTGGATATTGTGACCCGAATCGGCGAGGCAGCCATGCCGTGCCGTTTCTACAGGGTCTCTACCATGTCCGCTCCCGGGCCGGGCTACGTTGCCGGCATCAATGGGTGCTGTTCTTTCTATTGGCTTCGTGTTGACGTCAGTGGGGTTCTAGCGAGGGGCAGCTTCTTGATGGCGGGGTAGTTTGCCGTTGGAGCTCGACTCTTCGTCATGCATTACAGGTTATGTCCGAAAAAAAGTCCCGGTCCATAAGCTTCAATCCCCGAAATCTCACCCCCCGCTGCAACCTCCTCATAGCACATGTTGCATGAACCCCGTTGCTTCTATGAACACCCTCAGAGCTCTGCAGAGAATCAAACTCGTACAAAACGCGCTCACAGCTAAGCCCCTAGGTGCGGCTCAAAACCTTGGGTCTGTTCATATCCGTATTAAGAGCAGTGGCACTGATTCTTCTCGACAACCTTAGGACGAATCAGTCAGTTTGCAACCATGGCTACCACGACAGATGTCAAGAACTACAAGTTCAACCACTCGATGGTAAGTGCGCAGTTCCGGCATCGGTATCTGCTTCATACTAATCATGTACCAAGATCCGAGTGAAGGACCCCAAAGCTTCGAGTATGCAGCAAAAGCTCAACGCCAGCGCGTTTCAACTCCCCTTACTGACCGGCGCTAGTCAAGTTCTACGAGACCCTCGGCATGAAGGTCATCAGGAAGATGCCGCAGCCCGAGGCCAAGTTCGATCTGTACTTCCTGGCCTACGACTCGCCCAACGCGCTGTCGGCGGGCAAGGGCGCCTTGGACCGTGAGGGCATCATCGAACTGACGCACAACTACGGCACCGAGAATGATCCGGAGTACAAGACCAATAACGGCAACACGGAGCCGCACCGCGGTTTCGGCCACACGTGCATCAGCGTCGACAACATCCAGGCGGCGTGCCAGCGCCTCGAGGACGCCGGCTACGCGTTTAAGAAGAAGCTTACTGATGGCAAGATGCGCCACATTGCGTTCGTGCTGGACCCGGACCAGTACTGGGTCGAGATCATCGGACAGAAGCCGATTGAGCAGACGGAGAATGCCAAGGAGACGGATGTGACCACGTACAGAATGGTGGGTGCCTCGACATGAGTAGTATCAAGAGGGGCAAGAAAAGCTGACAGATGAGCAGAACCACACGATGCTCCGCGTCAAGGATCCCCAGAAGTCGCTCAAGTTCTACCAGGATGTCCTCGGCATGTCGCTGATCCGCAAGAACGAGTCCAGCGATTTCACGCTCTTCTTCTTGGCTTACGGCGACCTCAAGGAGGGCGAGAGCCAGGCGCAGCGCGAGGGCATCCTCGAGCTGACGTGGAACCACGGCACCGAGAAGGACGAGAGCTTCAGCTACCACAACGGAAACGACCAGCCCCAGGGCTTTGGTCACATTTGTGAGTTTTCCCATTTGTTATGGACTTACACTTGGGAGGGATTCGGAAGTGAAGGGCGTGAGAGCTAACGGTTTGGAAACAGGCATCTCGGTCGATAACATTGACGCCGCATGCGCGCGTTTCGAGGACTTGAAGTGCAACTGGAAGAAGCGCCTTACCGACGGCCGCATGAAGAATATTGCGTTCCTGCTGGACCCTGACAACTACTGGATTGAGGTTGTTCAGAATGAGAGCTTTTAAGCCTAAACCCGGACAGGGATGAGATTATTGAGCATGGCATGAGAAAGCAAAGCGGAACGGTGTTCGGTGGGAGGCAACAGGCGGGGCGGATGGTTTGATGCATGGGTGAGGCGTACGAAAAGTGAGCGAGGTTGTCTCCGAGTCTCCGAAGCCATTTCGGCGGTGTTTGGGCGGCGGTAGTGGAATCCAGCGGCCATTTTGAGGGTGCCAACATATGCCTGCGGGTGTGTCTGAAACGGAATCAAATCCAAAAGCAAGCGAATTTGGAATATCTAATTCTGATGCTGAGATTCCACATGCTCTGTGGCTGTTGATATTAGTGCTGATGCTGGTATGTGTAAGGATCCAAATGCTGCCAGTGAAATCCCCCGGCCAATCCTCGGATGACCGTGCGCTTTGTGGAACCATGATGGAATCACAGCACAAGATTCCACGCTGTGGCGCTGCAGTGCCGCTGTGGCGGGACCTCTCCCCATTGTCTGCGACCCCGCCAAAAGTCGTTGACGCAACAGTTGCTCCCGAGCTTCTCACTCTCGGTGGCCACGGGCCCTGTGAATACCCCCAGGGCTCTGATTTGTCACTTGCCTCACCACCCCTCCCACGTTGTGACATTCTTTCTTCAGACCACACGGCATTGAGACGGCATCACGGTTTCCTTATTTAAACCTCACAAATCCCCAACTAAACCCGTTGCACTACTCGGCATCTAAAAGTAACCACTCCTCCTCACCGACTACCAACCGGTGAAATCCAAACAAGGAACGAGACGGTCGACGAATTGCAAATGCGATTCTCACCCTTCATCTCCACGCTCGTCTACACGTTCTCCAACCTCACCCGCGTCCGCGCAGCGCAGTCCCTCGGCGCCCAGACTCCCCTTGTCGCCGCACGCCCGCTCCGCGCTTCTATGTCCTCGATCCCATTCCTGGGTGCTCTGTTCGGCTCTTCCGCTTCGCAGCAAGACAAGATGTCGTACCCTGACAAGAGATCCGACGATGAGTGGCGGGCCGTTCTGAACAAAGGTACGTAGTCCCGATTGCTGTGTCCCAACCTCTCATGAGTCTCGTTCCGTGCTCTCAAGCCGTCAGCCCGATATCGGCGTCCTCATGAGATGTTTCGTTACGACACTGGGGTTGGGAAGTGAGGCAGGAGACTGACACACTCACCAGAACAATTCCGCATCCTCCGCGAGAAAGGAACCGAGCCCCCCGGCTCCGGCAAGTTCGACAAGCACTACCCCGAGGAGGGCGTCTACGCCTGCGCCGGGTGCTCCGCGCCGCTGTATAAGGCCACGCACAAGTTCAAGTCGGGATGCGGCTGGCCGGCCTACTTTGACTCGCTGCCCGGCGCCGTCGTGCGCCACGAGGACCGCGCCTTCGGCATGGCGAGGACGGAGATTGTCTGCGCCAACTGCGGCGGTCACCTTGGCCACGTGTTCAAGGGCGAGGGTTTCGACACCCCCACGGATGAGAGGCATTGCGTCAACAGCGTGAGCTTGACGTTTTCGCCCGACGAGAAGAAGGCTGGCGAGGGAAGCGGCCAGGGCGCCAAGGGAGAGAGCAAGGTTTGAGGTACGATTGCAGAGGTTGTGGACGGGTCGGGTTGATTTGTTCACGGCGTTGATGGCGATGAGGTTCGGGTTGGTGTTGTGGTGTTGAGAGTGTGCTAGGGGACAATGCACAGGGTGAGATCATGAAGCTGATGGCTGCGGTTGTGAACGTGTCTAAGTGTATCAACAGATGTGAACGGGACAGACCAAGTTTTTGCGTAGAGCCACGGTGACCAACTCGATAGGTGAGGTCTGATCATTTTACTAAAATTGCCTATATGAATCTTTCCGAGGGCTGGGTTTTCTGCTTCGAGTTGTTTTTTATCAACTCATTCTTCATGAATCATGCGTTTGGGACCAGTATGTCACCTACTAATGAGTGGTATCATGGCCTGCCCTGACATAGGCGCCACAGTATCTGGCGGCTCAGATACAGGCAACGATATTTCCTACAGCGCCCACAATCCGCCAGTGCTCGCCTGAGCCCCATGCTTACATTTGGTCACTTCGTCAGGCGCCATCACCACCAAGGCTGTTTGATCAATAATTCATTAATCAGAACGGAAAACCCATGTTTCGTGTCATTACTCCTATGTACAATCTTAGTAGAGTTCCTCTTGAAGAAGTCACCATCACTGCTCAAGGTTAGCTAGAAGGTGTGACCATCTAATTAATAATTTATCTCCTAGTTTGACTTGAACAGTGGGTTGAATCTCTCATCTAACTACGTCTAGTGCGTGCAATGCATCCCATCGTTGCAACCTAGTTAGTCATTGCCATGTAAAGTTAAGCCCCCCTTTGATGAAAATACAACACTCAACGCATTACATTGCTTCAATACATCGGTTGCATGATAGCTCTTAAAAGCTTATCGTAAGGTATATCACTCATGGCTAGGCCATATCGGTCAATGGCGGCCTGGCATAAATCAATGGTATTTTGCTCCAGCTCCTCGAAAACTTTCACCTCATCAATCTGCTGTTCTGCTCCGGTATCAACCATTAGCCGTTGAAAGCATGCTTGTTGGAGATCTCTGATGTCGAAAATCAATTTGAACTTGGCTACGAATAAATCCTCCTCTTCGGCGGAAGTACTGGATGAATCAGGCAAGGTCTGCGTGCCCTGACCCATCTTCGTAGATGTTGGCTTAGAGAGCACATTGCTGCCATCTGGTATTGCAGAGATCTTTGAAGATTTAGACACAATAGAGTTTAAGTTCAGGTCAATCTCTTCGTCCGATGAAGTTGAGCTTGTGTCCGCGGCGGGTAACTCAGTAGCATCTCCATCCTCGCCCTCTTTTGCGGGGGCAATCTCCTCAGGGTTTGCAGCATTGGATGGGGATGTAGCGATTAGACCTCCCGTTTTAAGTTTATTGTTGACCTTCTGAGCGGCGTGATCGGGAGGTGGATAGGATGGGTTGCTGGGTCCGTCTGGTTGCCGTATCATAGCCTTCCTTTCGAAAGCTTCGGGAGGAATCCTCGGCAACGGTATCGGTGTGGTGGATACGGGCTTTGCATTATAATCACACCTTTGTTTCTTTGTAGCCGAGATGTCAATATCGTCGTTATTCTTTCGCTTGACGATGAGTAGCCTTGTCTGTGGTGGCTTCTTAGCTTGTTCTGCAGAGAGGCAGGGCTTTGAGACGAGTTGTGTCGGTTGTTGAAAGAATTCCTTCCGCTGGCTCGCTTTTTGAGAATCTTGTTCCGGTACCAAAAACTTTGACTGTTCATGAGATCGTTTCGGGACACCCGACTCTGCCTGCTTCCCTGACGAGAACGGCAGCTCACGTCGAGGAGGGAGCATGTCTCGGAATACAGCACCGGAGCTGGGCCTCGATTTTGGTTGACGAATCTCGTCATACAAAAAGCTTTCGGCGAGTGGACTCAAATCCCGGTCTAGTTGTTGTTTTTGTATTGATGGCGGGGAAAAGGTCTGTGACAGTCTATGGTGTGTGGTGGACTTTGAATGGAGTGTTGGTGTGTACTGTCTATCTTGAGAGGATATTGAATGTACTCCCATAGCCTGCCGGTCTGTGAATACGGTCCTTGCTCTCTCATATGAACGAGAGGGTGCCAATGGGCCAGAGGACTGAAAAGGAGCTTCGTTGCGTTGGCCGATAGACATCATAGGTCGGCGGTCATTCGCGAGTGCGCTACGGGCTCGTGATGTTGGACTGCTCTCACTTGCCAAGACGTGATTCCTTAGAGAAGAACCCGATCGCTCAGGGAAGTGCTGGACCAGAGGAGTGGTACTTCGTCTGGAGGTGAAAGGACGGTTAGTCGACAGGGTTTGAAAGTTGCTGACTACTTGTGATGACCGAGATGGTTGTCGAGAAGCCGGTTGGCGTGGAGGCTCACGTGGTGATTCGAGACGTAGGCCAAGATCCCGGAAGAGTCGCAGCACCTGTTCCTGATCATTTCGGGTTTTGAATTGGAGAGCCAACTCTTGGGTCATCTGTAGATGGTAAGCTTTGATAACGAGGCGAGGAGTAAGTAGTACTTCAACGTACATCGTGTGTGTTCAATTTGATATTGATCGTCCCCTTCTCCTGTTTGTATCGAACTCCATAGATGAACTCTGGGGCGATGTTGCCATCACGACTACCGAGACCTAACTTAAGCTGGGGTTTGAGTTAGCAACGTGAGTTTGTATGTAGTGTAGGCTGGATTTACTGCTGGACGTTCTTGCAAAGGGATGATGAGTACATGGTTTGGCTCTTTGGTTAGTTGGTCTCTTGACCCCATAATACTTGCAAGAAGTCTTTCCTGTTTAATGGTAACAACAGCATTTTCCAGCATTGAAATGATGTCCCATTCAAATTCATGAGAAGGTCTTTGACGAACACAAGCCTGGCTCAGCGTGAATACCCAACTCTGGAGTTTCGGCGCCATGTTCTGAGGCTTCCAAGTCAATGCCTTGAAACCATGAGGTAAAAGATCAAGGAGCGACGCACGAACAACGTCTGAGGTGATGAACTTGCAACTTGTGATCACGTAAATCACGTCATCATTGACGACGGCTTCATGCTTTAACTGCTGTCAGTGAAGGAGGGTAAAGAAGTATAGCATCGGCAGCCTGCGATCTGAATGAGATCATAGACTGTCGGTTTCTCCAGATCGCGATATGGAAACCCGGTGTGTTGGAAGCTTGGGGATAGCCGAATTGGAATCAGAAAGATTGAGAGGAAGATGCAAACGTTGGCATCGGGTCGAGGGAAAGTGTCAAGCAGGGGTCTGTCTACCTACCTACTCATCCACCATCCACCCCCCTGCCCGAGCAGCTTCTGGGGGAGGTGCAGCTCAAGTGGGTCTAGTCCAGATACGGGCAAGCGTTTGTCCTGCTAGCTCAGGCACACAAGCATCCGATAAGGCAGGTACAGTCACGTGGAGATAGCCGCAAAGCGACAGGGGAATTTTCAACGTCGCGTAGCGCAAGGCAAAACACGGTTGGGCCAGTTGACATCCGGCGCATCACTGACCGATCGCAAAGGGCCCACGAACCTGCCTGCGCAACAGCACACTCAACCCCCTCCCTCCATTGGGTGCTGCAACTTCACGACTTTCGATATAAAAATTCACCGCATCCTCTCGTCGATTGGGACAGCTTAGAACAGCACCGCGCAACGCCTGATTCGCCATTCGTCACACCTGCCGAAGGATCTCTCGGCGCGTTCTGGAGCCCCAGTGACAGGCCACGGCCTTCAACGAGTCGCAAACGCATCCCTCCAGGTGGTCAGTCAACCGGCCCTAACTCATCACTGCTGCGAATCTCGCGTGCTTACTGACAAGGCATACAGCAGTCCGTGCGATCAATCCAACATGGCGCCCCCAAAGGAAGCTGAGGTTGAGCTCCACGCCATCAGCCGAACCCCCGAATACGAGGAGTTTATGGCTAAGCTGAGAGCTTACCATCAGGAGCGAGGCACAACTCTCGAGGCTGAGCCCAAGGTCGGACCGGTTTACCTTGACCTCTACAAGACATTCAACCATATCGTTGCAAATGGCGGCTACGACAAGGTGTCCGATGAGAAGCTGGCTTGGCGGCGGATGGCCGAGCAGCTTGGTATCCACTCTTCCAACGTAGCCTCGACTGCCTTTTCGTTGAAGGAAAAGTACTATAAGAACCTTGCTGCCTATGAGATCAAGTTTGTCCATGGCAAGGAGCCTCCTCCCAAGGACATCCTGGAGGACGTGTCGGCCAAGGGTGGCGGTCTCTTGAGCCGCACCAGGGAGAACTTCCGGGGAGCCAAACGTGATAGCGGCACAGTTGGTGACTCTGCGGCTGCTTCTGGCGATGATGGCACCCCAACCCGAGAGCGTCCTACTCCAGATGCTGCTCCTACGTCTAGCGTTCGAGCCTCACGAGGCCTGCGCGAGGCCCCGCCTCAAAGAGTCATCTTCCAGCCAGACACCGGCCCATCTAGACCGACCCGTCATGCTTCTGGTCAACAGCCGAGCCATGGCAATACGCCTACCTCCATGGGCCAGCCAGGCGGCCTTCATTCGACACCGCAGCAGGTTCAACACACTCCAGTGCCTCTTCCTCACCAGCCCAGAGCTCCGCCTCGTGGACCCAGCGGCAGCTTCAATCCGCCCGATGCCGAGAACACGTCGATCGGCGTTGAATCGTTTCTCCCACGCTCCCTGCAGCCCCAGCAGCAACAACACATTCTTCCCATGCGCCCTGTTGACACACCGAGTAACAATCCGGTTGAGTTTGCTCGGCGCCGTCAACTTAGACGCTCTCTTATGGAGCCCCCTCGTCGTAGTGGACCCTATCCTGGAGGTAAGGCACAACCTAAGTTAGAGACCGTATGCAACTGCTAACAAGCTCTCAGTTGGATATGATGGCCCGAACATCTACATTCGTTGTCTCTACGCCTTGCGCTCGGGCACTTTCGAAGAGCAGCAGTTTGCGCTCTACCACCTCGTCAAGATCTCATACGAACGCCATGACAAGTTCAAATTCGAAGGGTTTCCCGGACTCAGTGAAGGCTTGGTTGAAAAAGTTTTGGAGGTTGGCACCGTTTTTTACAATGTGAAGTGGAAAATCTCTTGGGTATCTCAGATGGCCGCCGACAATTTCGACACTCTGGATGGCAATGAAGGAACCGAAGACATCCTGGAGCGCATCGACACCCTCGACCCGAAGGAAATCAACGAGCACATTGTACCCGAGGACCTCGCGGACCAGATGGTCCTCATCAATGAGGCCGCCTTGACACTGAGAAACATGTCTCAGCTACGGGAGAACGCTGCTCATCTGGCCGAATTCCTGCCGATCAAGGACCTTATTTGCATTGTGCTGAGCCTTCCAAAACACGAGTGGGTGATTGAAGTGAAGCATGCGATGCTCGACATTGCTGAGGCTTTGACCCCCTACATTGAAATCGACTCCAGCGACCCCCTGTACAAGGTTCTCATGTGGCAACTGAACGATTCTGACGACCGCGGTGTTATCCTCACGGCTCTTCGCGCGCTCGGACGCATCTCGATGAACCTCGAAGCTACCAACCGACTGGATAAGGTTCCTACAGCCGTCTTGACTAAGATCGGCGAGCTGATGCTGCTCAACGATGACGAGCTGAAGGATGCCTGTCTCGATTTCTTGTACCAGTACACGGCAGTTGTCAGCAACGTTGACAACCTAGTTAAGGCCCTCAACTGCGAGCATCTGGTTCAGCATCTGGTCCGTCTACTTTCTCACAACGCCAGGCGCTACCAGGAAGAGACGCTCCTGAAGCCCATGATGAAGCCGCCCTCGACCGATGAGCCTGCTGCCATGCCCGAAGATCTGTTGCAGGATCTGCTGAAACTTGACGAGCCCGAGCGATGCAACCAATGGGTCAAGTGTTTCTTTGAAGAGGACAAGGACTCTTTTGTCACTCAGATTGCAGCCTGGCAGGCGTACCAGAACGCTTTCAAATCGGCACTCCAGGCCATTGGCCAGCCCCTCATTACCCCAGCCGACTTTATTAGGAACAGCTGTTCGGTCTATAAGGGCTCCAAGGCTGAAGTCTGGGCAGGCAGCGGAGTTCCTGGAGAAGTTCAGCAGAAGTTCATCATTCATGGCATTCGATGCCGAGTTCGACCTGTGGGCATCCAGGGCGAGGTGTTCCTTCGGTGCCTCTGGGACTCGGCGTCTGGCCGACCAAACGAGAAGTGCGGCCACTTCTTTGGAAACAAGGAGACCATGTGGAACCATGTTGTCAAGGTTCACCTGAAGCTAACTCGCAACGAACAAGGCGGCTTCGATAACAAGGAAGAGGAGATCAGATGCCGGTGGGCCGATTGTACCAAGTACCCGAAGCCCACAAAGATGAAGCTTGCCCTCATGGGCCATCATCTCCAGACTCACTGCTGCCAGATCTTCAATGGCATCGCCATCAATGACAAGAAGGCGCAGGCTGGACCTCAACCCAGCGATAATCTCGTGGTCCACTTCGAAGAGACGGCCACGGCTCCCGACGAGCAGAACCCTTCAGCCCCTCCTCAAGCGGCTGGTATTCCCCTCAGTGCGGTGCTGATTCTCCGCAACATCGCCCGGAACGTGGTCAAGACACCTGCGCAAGAGGACCTCCTCAAGCTGCATGAGCTTGGCGGCGAGGCTGGGGGTTGGAATGAGCGGCTATTCCGGACTGTGCTTCCTCGTCTCTACGAAGTCATGACCGAGAACAGGGTTTTGGTAAGTTTGATCTGCGTCATGCTTTGCTACCCCAAGGTTAACATGTTTGTGTGCACAGCGACCCCACGTATTTTCTCTTATCCAGCTCGCCGAGTCAGAGAGGGACCTCTAATACAAACCATATATTCGAAGAGCTTGCCCTTTTGAAGCCCCCGAATTCCACTCCCCCATCTCAGATTGTACCCTTGAGCCGGAGTGGCATTGCGAGAGCACTTTCGGGCAGCATTTCGAGCAACCTCGGACACAACCCATTTGTATGAGGGGAGAGGATGTTCCGTGCGTTCCTTGTTCTCGCTGCAGAACCATGAACTACAGCCGTCTGTGGTGTGAAGACAGTGAGTGATCAGCGGATGACAACTTTGTGCTTTTTGGGATGGCAAATACCCAGGCGTTGGGGAGGGCGACCGCAAAACTTTTGCGAATGTGGGATTAGCAAGCAGGGTGACGATTTACTCCTATTTTATCTTTCATTCTGCGGGGCGGGCGGACACACTGCTGTGCTTCTGCCAGATGTCCCGAGACTGATGGACGTTTTTCAGTTTTTGCATGTCTAAACAGGGCTCTCAGTTGGAAGAAACTTCCAAGACAGAGGGAGAGAAGAGAGTCACGTATCATGTGTCAGGTACGAGGGAACAGGTCGGTTGATGGGCGAGCAACGTGTCTTGACAGAGACGAGTCGTCCCAAACAATGTTGCCGCAGTGTAGTATAACCAAACCTAAAAACGAAAAGAAAAAAAAAAGGACCTGCCATCAGCCCCGAGTCTTGCGTGATGCCGTCGTGTATCCCAGGAAAAGCTCACAGACCTCTGTTGTGTTGTGAATCGTTGCCCGCTGCTCAAGTCAGTGTCGGCTTCGCCAGCCCGAGCCGTCCCACTGAAAAAGGTGCCACCCGGGACCATCCGCCCAGAGGGTGGATGCAAACTAATTTTTCTCTCCATTGGTCTCTTTTTTTCTTCTTTTTTTTTTTAACCCTTTTCATGATAACTGGCTCCAGGATTTGATGGCTCTCGTGGAGTCGAGGGAGGACCCTGGATCGGAAATCTGGGGCCCTCTCCCGCCGTGGAGCAGCGCCAAGGGAGCGACTTTGGGGTTCACGATGGTCGGCCCTGGTGTTCTGGCAGCAGCGCCTCGTGGCGGCCCAGGTGTCGGGGGGAGGGGGTACACTAAGGGACGGGACGATAGGGGGGGAAAGGCTCGGGCCGGGGTGCGTGTGTGAGTGTGAGTGTGGCCCATCCCAAAATCCGCCCCGTTCATTTCCCACGATGCGTTTCGTCGCTCCCGGTCCCGGTGCGGGTGGGCAGGATTAACTCGCGATGCCAGGCCTCACGATCTTCTGGTCATGGGGCCGCTTTTTGTGCGGGTGTGGGGAGAGGAGGGATTATGATCTGCACGGTTGCACCACCGCGACGAGGTCTCCGCCATCGGATGCGCATCACCCGTGCTGTGTGCCTTGTGTCATGAAGCTCTGGGAATGAAATATCTGGATGCCCGCCTCGCACTGTCAACACCAATTGGTCATGGATGGATGCACTTACGTGGAATCATGTTCATCAGGAGTCATAAGGATACCAACGGAACATCACCTGTCGCGTTGCGATTACGATGCATCAAGTTTGTAAACTAGGGAACACAAAAGGCGTGGCCGTTTTTTCAGATCTATTCTGCGATGTCTACTCTTGTCTCGTCTACCAGGAATCCCAGAGTCCAAGCCCAAGTTTCTCTTCCTTTCTATCCTCTTGATCTTGTTCCCAAAGCCGCCAACAAGACCCAAAAGCCCAGAAAAAAGAACTCAAGTCCAAATCCCCGATATTTTGGTTCGTTCCGTTGACTCCTGAACCTGCCTTGCCTGCCTGAGAACACAATCGAGATAGTCGAAGAGTCAAGGGTTGGTTAGGTGCCGTACAGCCCTTGGACCGCTGGGGGGTATAGTCCCGGATGTTGTGTCGAGTCGACCAATGAGAGAAAAACGTAGACGCTAGGAAATCGGCACGAAGTCGCGCATTGTTGTACGCGACCATGTCGGAGGGATGGTGTTGATGCCACGGGTACCACGTCTGCCCAAAGCAGACATACCGGAAGTGTGGGTCAGCAATGCTCCTCGTCGTAACTGCATGGCGTCGGAACGGATCTGGCGACGATATGCCAAAGACGATGCCGATGCGGACTAGTAGCTCATAACTCGCCAGACACGTGCAATGACCCTCCCCATACCAGAAGCAAGGCTCCGCTGGAAGGCGTCGACGTGCACAAGCTTAGTAGCAAGTGTAGCCACCGTCGATGATGACGTTGGAGCCGGTCATGAAGCTGGAAGCGTCGGAAGCCAGGAAGACGCAGAGACCGTTGAGGTCATCGACGCTGCCGAGGCGGTCCTGGGGGGTCAGGGACTTCCAGATCTTCTTCTGGGCGTCGAGGGCGGGGACGCGGTTGAGGGCAGTGTCCATGTAGCCGGGGGAGATGCAGTTGACACGGATGTTGTACTTGGCCCACTCAGCAGCAAGGGACTTGCCGAACTGGATGACACCAGCCTTGGAGGCGTTATAGCAGGACTGCTCCTGGGGGTAGTTCACAATGCTACCAGACATGGAAGCAACCAGAATGATGGAGCCAGGCTTGCCGGCCTTCATCATGGCGCGGCCGACGGCCTGGGACATGAGGAAGGAACCAGTAAGGTTGATGTCAATGAGACGACGGAACATGGCGGGGTCGTAGGTCTCGGCCTTGATGTTGGAGCTGTTCAAAGACGTATGTTAGTGGGTCTCGCTAAGCAAAAAGGGGGGACAAGCTGTGCTGCGGGTGCACGCTGCACTATGGGGGAATGACGTACTCAGCGATACCGGCAGAATTGACCAGAACATCAGGAGCACCGTAGAGCTCAACCACCGAGTCGACTGCAGCGTTAATGGCAGCGCCGTCACGGACATCCACCTTAAAGAAGGTGACGGGCAGGCCAGTCTTCTGGTGCAGCTCGGAAGCGGCCTCATCACCCAGCTCCTGGTTGGCGTCGAAAATGACCAGGGCCTTAGCACCGGCCTCAGCGCAGGCGCGAGCCATGTAGTTGCCCAAACCACGAGCACCACTGCGAATTCAAAGTCAGCCAAAAAGAAAAAAAAGAAGCTTTCGTCAAAGCGCGTTAGGGGACAAAAAAACCAATTGAGGTGAAAAGGCTCCAATTGGTTGGCAGAGAAAACTTACCCAGTGACGACAATGGTTTTGCCCATGACAGAGAGCTTTTGCATCATAGGGGGCATCGAGTCGTAGGTCTTGCGAGTGAGGGGAACGACATCATCGTTCTCGGGACCGGGAATGGGAGACTCAGTGGGAGGGCGAGAATCATGCTCGCGGACGGGGATGGAGAAGTGGTCGGATTGACCAGCACCCTTGGAATCGGGAGCGTAGACGGAGACGGGAATCTCCTTCTCGCTGACAACGTCGCTCTTGAAGGCGCGAGCAGAGACGGAGAAGGGGCGAGCAGCCTGGCTGCGGATGGCAACGCGAGGCGCAGCGAAGCGGGTAGTGAGACGGAAGGCAGAACGAGCGGCGGCCATTGTTGCGATCGGTCGGGTGATGGATGAGTATGTGATGTAGGACTGTCTAGTATGGTGAAGCAGGAGGACGGAAAGTATGAGTAGACGCGAGGAAGTCTGTGACCGTTGATGAAGGCGCGAAGAAGAGAGGTTTGCGCAGAGGTCAAGCTTGATGGAGAGGGAAACAAGAATGAGATGTGTGGTGGATGGAAAAAAAGTTGGACGGGCAGGTAGAAGAAGGGGGAGCGTGTCCAAGTTGATATAGGTCCGAGGGGGAGGCGTGGCCCGTGTAAGCTCGACTTTCTGTAAAAGAAGGAAGGAAGGGACTGGTCGAGACGGTGAGAGAGGGGAGGTAAGCTTGGGAAGGTACGGTAGGGTACGTATCGGGAGGGGGAAAGGTGAGGTGAAGGCAGGGACAGTTCGCGGAGACAGGTACAAGTGAAGTGAGGCAGGCAATGAGGAGGAAGGGTCTGGTTTCTTGTGCCCGCCGTGGCTCAAAACGCTACGCCGAGCTCGAGGGAAGGGAAGGTATCCGTATCGATACCGTCGTACGTTCCTTCCTAGGTACAGGACCTAGTGTTGCAAGTGATGGACGTGGAGAATCTGGGCGTGGCGTGCGGCGATTGCGGAACCGCTCTAGCGTGGGTGCTTGCTTCAAGAGCCCCGGTTTTAAATAAAACAAAATAAAACCACCCCAGGAAAAGTGCCTGCTGGCGCTGATGTTGGAGCTCGTGTGGGTGCGGACGGTGAATGGGATTGTTTCGGCCGGTCGGGATGGCGATGCCAATGGGATGAGATGGCGATCTGGACACACACCCACTCTCGATTCTGCTACGGCTGTTGCTACCACGTACCTACTGTATGCACAGGGGTGGACGAAGGGGGTTTTCTCTGGCTTGGGATTGGGCACAACGCAACACACAGAACACACGCCTGGGCGGCCATATTGCGGACAGCGGGATGTATCCGAACACAAGAGGCACAGAGGAGCTTGGAAGCATGGCATTGGCAAGCACAAGCAGGCAGACAGTGTGATTACGGTGGGAAGAATACCTAGATGGAAATGGCATGGCGATGCGACTGAAAGGGTCCCCGTTCCCCGTCCCCCGTCCACTTTCCAAGGCCAGGCACGGGCAGTTTCCCAGGTCCAGTCCGTATCAGGAGTCATGACAGGACAGCATGGCCCCTGGTGCCCCTGGATGTCTGGCCGTGGAATCTCCAATCTGGCAAGCCGCAAATCTGGGCGAAAGTGCTGAAAGTGCTGGAAGTTGGAGGTGTGGTGTGGACGGGTCCGGGACTCACTCCTAGGTAAGGTAGAGAACTTCTGGGACGGGCGGCGCTAGCCAAGAGGTGGAGTGCGGCTTGCAGGTCGAAGTGGATGGCGGCTACTCCGTCCCACGCCTGCACCTCACATAAACACTGCAGCTGTGTCCTGCCCGTCAAGGCCTTCTCGCTGCTGCTGTAACGCTAATGCAGAGCCCGCCCTAGCGTTAAGAGCCCCCCCCCCCCCCCCCCCCCCCCGTGCGAGCCCACCGTACCGTAAGGAAGGATATCTGTCTAGCGTTTGAAAAGGTACGGATACGTCAAT